TTCTACATCTCTCTGCCAGCGCCAGCCTCTTTCATGCCCTTTTTTTAGCCACTTTATCTAGACTGGCCTGTGTTGTTTTTCTCTGTAACCAACCTCTTTCACCACTTCTTCATATCCAGCTTCCTCTATGTCTGCTATAGGGTGAACATTCTTCTTCTAAGGTTTCACCCACCCTTTGAAAGGTCATAACCTCAATAAAACTGTGGGCTGCAAATATTGGCTGATTTGGGCCAACCAATGACTTGGTCAGACTCTTAATTGGACAGTAGTGCCAGTACTCCTCTGGCAGCAGACTCATTCTTATCATGTATTTTCAGTGTTGTAATTGTAATGGCTATTACAATTTCAGTGTATCTAGATTAAATCTAGGAGAAATCGCAAGATTATTCAATTACTAAAATAATCGATAGTGACAGCCCTGTTTCAAATAAAGTTATTAATATGTTGGATAGACGAAAACAGTTAAGAACATTGTTTTTTTTTGTTCCTGCTTTCTTGCTGCAGCACCAGTCATTGCATGGATTTGTTCAATTTCATCAGCAGCACACTTGATACAGTTAAATGTAGGGTTGGCTGAAGCTGGTACTGGATGGTAAGTGTAAATAATGGTCTTCCGCAATGAGAGCTTGAAAAAAAGGTTGTAAAGATCGTTACCATTCAGTTCACCGTTCAGCTGTCGACCACAGCAGTGATGAACTGTAAGAATTTTAAGTGATTTGAATTCCAGAACAGGGATTAGAGCCCAACCAATATGAAAACTGTGACTGATACCAGTAATGATTGTTAAGAGGCTGGAAATTATGTTAACGCTTAACAATATTGGCTGGTACTACTTTATATTGTAGTATTTTATAATGTATTGTTTTATACTCCAATTCATTTTAGTTGAACTGTGCTTCACTGATTGTCACTTCTCAATGGTCACACTTCTTAATTTGACATTGTAAAACTCAGCATTGTAGTATTTTGTGTTCAAATTGCCAGTTAACCTGTAATATTGTGATGACATGAGCAGAGTTTATCAGTCTCTATCAGTGTTAAAGTCTGTTTTTTATGTCAGTTTATTACAATTGAAAACAAAGCAGCGAATTATCGCTTCTTTAATGACAGGATTTTTTGCTGGTAAGTCTACACCTCAGTACTGGCATTGTATTTTTTCTTGTTTGAATTCATTTTTCAAAAAAATGCTGTGTTGAAAACATAATGACATTCAATAAACTTTTTTGAGGTATTTGGTTTTATGTTTCCCTTATTAATTTACTGTTTTTTTTAAAACATTCATTATTAATGATTTGTGAATAATTATGCGGGATATGGAGCTGTTGTTGACTCTGGAACGGATCCGGTGCAGATGCAACAAGTCAGGGCCGGATCCGTTCCAGAGACAGCTGCTTATATCAACTTGAGCTTGGACCTCTTCTGAACTGGGTCCGTGCCACATTTGGGCCAGATATGAAGATAATATTCAGACCTGCACCAATTCAGGACCAGATGTAACGCTGTTCTTTGCTCATCTGGGCCGGTTTTTAATCTGTTTTGGCGCAGATCCGTAAAACAGATCAGTTCCGGTATTGGGCCGTTGTGCAAAAAGACACCGGGCCAGCTCTGCTTTGCGGATCCGGACCGGATGCAGTGCTACATTTGGCCCTAATCAGGCGCAGTGTACATTTGTTGTCTGGGGAGTCTTGAATGCTTACCATATTCCATGAGAATTTTTTATTAGCCACAAAAATGCAAAACAGTTTTAGACTGCTACAGAGCCTCTTGTAGCTTTTATGTTTTTCAGTGCCACTGCTAATTTCATGAACTTACATTTGTAATTAGAGGCCAAAACCAACACCTTTCCTTACGCAATCAGTTTTGTTTCTTTGACATGAAATGATTCTCAGAATAATCCTGTAAAGTGATGACAATGAAACATCCTTTCTTTCCTCTAATTTCTGCAGACTCCTTCACTGAAAACTCACTGAACAGTCCAGTGAATATTTTGCTTGATTTCTGCAAAAAGCAGACTCATCCTTGAGAGCCTCAGTCACAATGAACTGAAGGATTCAGGAGTGGCACGTGTGTCTGATGGATTGAAGAGTTCAGACTGTATTCTGGAGATACTGGGGCAAGTGTCAAAACTTGTGTAGACTTAGTTCTTTAATAAGTCAGTTACAGTTTTGTTTTTTATGGATTTGTTAAGAATATGAATTAAAACCTAGACTTAGACTGTAACATAAACCCTGCGTGTCAAACAGTGTTATGAAATGCAATGATATAATTAATGTTAAGATGTAAGAGTTGCTCATGAATGGTTTGTCTGTTAATTAAAAAAAGAAGATTAATAATATTCCCAGCAAAATCAGGATAAATTAATTTTTACTATAATTCATTTGGTGTTACAAATCGCTGCTGTCGGAACAAAACCTCGCATCTCCAGAATGTTAACTTTACAGGAGAAGGAAAAAACCTACTCTACATTTAATGTAAGTCAATGGAACCAGATTTTTTTTCAAGCTATTTTGGACCATTTCTTTTGGTCCATTCTTCATGAAATTTACACACAACGTGAAGAACAACAGGCATTTTCAAATTATGTCAAAAACTGAAAAATATTTAAAAATAATACAAATTACTGCTTCCAAAATTTGAAATGTATAATAGCAGATTTAGTTTGCTGCAAGAAAACAATAGAATAGAGTAACTAACCTCACTGCAAGAGAGTTTTGAAGCCCCAGTAGACAACAACAAGGCAGCCAGCAAAAACGTCCACTTAATAATACTAATACACATAAATTTTTTTATTTCAGCAACAGTCTTAGGCAAGTAATAATGTTTTTGATATTTGCCAATTGTTTCATTTTGAGTATTTTTTATATTTAGCTTTAGGTTGAACTAACAGCACATTTTTAAACAGTGCAGTAGGGGTCAGGACCTTTGATTTCAATAATTGTTTTTGAATTCAATAATTATCTTAACAGATTTTGGACAACATTCACTGAACCCCTCTATGCAGGGTTTGGACTGGAGAATCCAGGCTCTTCTGTCTGTAATGTGTGATCAGTTGAATTTGCCAAGTGAACAAGGATTCATTAACTTCCATAAATTTATTAATGTTTTCTGTCACATCAGTAGATCTAAAATAGTAAATATAGTAAAGATTTAAGATGGAATTTTATCAACATGACATGGAGAACAGAAGAGATATATTTTAAAGAACTGGTTGGGTGACAAATCTAATTTACACCGTTTTCCAGGTATGAATGTATTTGATCAGTTAAGACATTTTTGGTGTCCAAATTTTGCTTCTTAAGTTTAACGATGGAGCTATGACGCTAACATTGAGTGAAGATTTATGGATGTATTTATGGAAGAGATTTCAATGATTATGGATGTCTAGTGTTTTTTAGCTCCACCTTAAAAAAGCATAAATTAATTTTTTTTAAAACATAAAATAAAATAAAAACATTTTAATTACTTTTTTTTACCTGGTGATATTATAGGGTACCAGATGCATATGCTTATCTTACACAAACAGCAATGAAAACAGATAAATATGCACATCCTACAGTGACCCCAGGAGCCACATACAGAACTGCATGCCCAACCCCTGTGTGCACAGAAATGTCATCTTCTTTAAACCAAGTTTAGTTCTGTGCAGGTGGGTTTGCATCACTGAGTCACTGAGCTGCCCTTCACTATTTCTGGTGAGCACTGGACACTGAGATACTTTTTGGGCCATGTAGAGGTAGAATGACACATTACACTTCATGTGGGTGCATTATTTTTGATTAAGCAAAATAATTTGTTTCTGCAGAACTATATAGTTTAGTTGCAAATTTAGCGACGTTTATCTCCTGATGCAGAAAAAAAGGAGGAGCTTCTTCAATTTAAATTATCAAACTGTATGAGGTTCAACAGTGCTGACACTTTCACTCATTCTACCCTCTCTATTTTCCATGGACTTGGTCCTCCGACTACATGACATTAGAGAGTAGATGGTTTAAATAAGTTATGTTAAAATTTGTACTCTTTTGAAGAGCTACTCCAAGTTTAAGAACATTAAACAGACAGGAGTGGCACTGTAAACTTCCCTCATTTATTAATCACTTTTCTATAATGTGGGCAGTAATTACATTTTCCAAGACAAGCTCTTCAGTTTCAGTCTTGTTTACCAAATAAAAATATGGGAATGATTCACAGTGGACTGGACAGAATGAGACTGTGATGAACGTTTAAAGGTAAAAACACTAAAAGGGCCATAATATTTAGTTTACATTGTGTTCTGTTCTGATTGGCCTCTGGTGATGATGTTAGAGTTTTTAGTCATCTGTTGGTCTGTACTGTGCCATCTAGAGGAATGTATGTGTAATTACATGCACACTTTACTATAAGGCCCATCACTGACTGACTGATATCTGGAGCTCTGTATCAGCTCACCTGACATTTCATCCATCTGCTCACTCATATTTCAGTTATTTATTAACAACACTGTTGTTATTTCACTAACAAATGTATTATTAGCTTTTTTTGTCTTCTTGGATCAATTATTAACAAAGGATCCTGCAGTCAATGAATACGACACAGAAGAACTCAGGCACTCAGGAGAACAAGGGTGAAGAAACTTGAAACAATGTTCTAATGAAATGTTGTGTTTCTACAAACAGTGATCAGAACTGTCCAGGCTGTAGTCTGTTCTGGGTTTCTTTATAAATGTGAAAGCTGTACAATAAAAAAAATATTAATGCCTTAAATAATATTTACCAATACATTGGATCTGGATTGAACAGTGTAGAAGACCACATTACCAATTAAACCCGTCAAATATCACACAGAACACACACATCAGCTTCAAAGCCTACCTGGCTAATTAGCAAGTCTGGCTAACAAAGACTTTGTTTTTGTTAACTTACTGTATTTAGTTTAGGCACCAGGTCTGGCCAATTTTTTTAAATGAAGAGAAGTAAACAACATCAGCACACTGTTTAAAAAAACTACATATGTTAACACAATTATTTTTATTTGATGCACTTCGAAAGTAGGAAACAGAACAGAACATACAGAAGCATATACAGAAGTTGAGCACAAGCTCACCTCACAGTTGATTTAACAAATCAAAAAAAAATATTTAAATCAATCATTTTAAAGTTGGAAGTTCATTTCTTCAGGTGGAAATTCATTCTTTCCTAAATCTATTCATTTAAAAAGCAACCCCAAATTTATTTTATTCATTTACATAAACAATAAAATATAAAATATGCACAAACATGCTGAGCTTTAATTGGTGCTGTTCAAACAGGAGTTCTTTGCTGATTTAGTGGCTGAACTGAGGCAAAATTTTTTAAACAATTTAGTTGGATGGTGTAGTAAGAAGTATGAATAGTATCACAGCCGTATGTGAGCAAAATTTTACCTGTGGGCCTTTTATCACACATTACCAGCCGACGAGTGCAATTAACTTATGAAATAACAACACTAATGGACAGAATGTGAGTCCTTCAGTCCAAAGTCAAATGCTGCCACTGCTAAGCTCTACGCATTCCTATGATTTTGACTCTTTAAACACTGTAAAACACTGGCATAATGAACATCATCCTGATTGGACAGATCTGGATCAGGTGTTGTATCACTCATCTGTTTTCGCTGCCACAGGGCTACTTCTGTCAAGTGTGATCTAAAGTGGAAAAAAGATAATAATAATTACATATTATAGATATTAATTACAATAAATAAGTATTACAGATGGCAAATCAGCAACATTTTTTTTTACAAAGTCCAGTGTGGCTAGTTTAAGTACCACTATATACAAAATGACATGTTTGTATTTATTCATTTTTTTAGCAAGCATATATACACTGAACAAATAATAATCTAAATGAATACACAGCAGAGCTCAGTCAGCATCATAGAAGCAGTGGAAAATTCCCTTTTAATGACAATGTAGAGTTACAAAGCGTTTGTATTTCTTTCTGTCAAACACATCTGGATACATGGTTTATGATACAATAACATTATACTATCTCAAATGCCCTCAAATGACCTATCATGCTGCCCCATATGTGAAAATATGAATAAGACTACATTCACATTACCAGGTTGAAGTGGAACAAATCCTTTTTTTGCCCTAATGTAACTCGTATGCTAGATCGGATCCGTATCCGATTTGTGGCTATGCGAGCTTAATGTGACACTCAGAGCGTAATTTATGTGCTTTTTTCCACTACACATCTCACCTTTTTCGTCTTCATCTTGCTCTAATAATGAACAGCTGAGCTAATCAGAGTTAATTATCTTGTCAGCAAAGCTCGTTCTGCTCGTTACTTTGTGCTGAAGTTGCACGTGACATCATTCACATGACGTTACTGAGTAGGATGTGTGTATGTGGGTCATTTCAGGACACCGGGTTCATTCACATTAGGAACGAATTTCAATCACTTACCTAAAATAGTCTGAACCATTGTGTCAGAGAGATCAGATTTGAGCAAAAAATTAGATTTTATCAATGAGGCTTGTAATGTGAACGTAGCTTAAGCTTCACTGTCCATCTCGCTTAGGATGAGAGCATCTGCTAAATGCAGGAAATTGTAAATATAAAACATCATGTGGACAGCCAGGTACGTGTATGGTGTTTCCCTGGGGAAGTGATGGCACCAGGATGCACTGTGGGAAGAAGACAAGCTGATGGAGGGAATGTAATGCTCTGGGCAATATTCTGTTGGGAAAGCCTGAGTCCAGGCACTCATGCCGACATCAGTATGACACGTGCCAACAACATTACCTATCATTGTTGGTGTTAAATATTATTTTATTTCATTTTACTTTATTTGTTCCTTATTAACTTTGTAACTTCTCTTAAATCCCTGTTTTTCCCTTGCCTTTTTGTATTAATCTCGTTTGTATGTCTCTCTTGGGTGATGTGTGGGGGCTGTGGAGAGCAGTCCTTTGTCATTTAACGACCTCCAATGGTTAGCCTATCTCACATCTGGTTATCTATAGCTTCCCAATCTAGCAATGCCATTTGCTGATGGTGATATCTCGGACCCATCCTGGTTCCTAGGGTGGGCCTCAATACCTCTATTTTAATTACAAAGGTAGAGGCAGTTGTCCATTCTGTGGGGGGTTCCGGGGGTTCGTTGAGACAAAGAGACAACTGAGGGTGTGGTTTACATTTCGTGACTATAAGTTCATCAGTGTGTAAGCTTCATTAGACTTGTTTGGTTGAGAAGACGCACGTTCATCAAACTTCATTTTCCTCAAGTCTCCACTCCTGTTTGCTTCAAAAAACCAACGGTTGCCAGCAGAAGTCAACATTGGTGACCCCCCTTCATGGCAATGGTATTCCCAGATAGCAGTGATAATTCTGCAGTTTGTAGAACACTGCAAGTTCAAGGTGTTACCCTAGCCTACAAATTCCCCAGATCCAATCAAGCATCTATGGGATGTGCTGGAACAACAAATCTGATCTACGGTGGTTCCACCTCTCAACTTACAGGACTCCAGGATCTCCTGCTAATGTCTTGGTGCTAGATACCACAGGGAACTTTCATACGTCTTATACAGGCCATGCTTCGGCAGGTCAGAGCTGTTTTTTGCAGCATGCAGAGGACCAACATCATCATATTTTGGCGCATCTGTTTTTTTGTATGTTTTCTTCTCTATATGTTGCAGTTTTATAATGACTCTTTAGTAAATGTTTAAACTTTTGAGAATTTTTCTCAACATTGCTTAGGGGTCTGTTATCTAGGAGTTGTAGGAGCCTGATAAATCTTTTAGATCACAGAGAATATATAATGCAGGCTGGTTAAAGTGAGTTTTATCAACATAAATGCATAAGGATGCATTTTAGCACAGTACATTGAGTATAACATAAACACCAAAAACCAAATATGAAATAAGCAGCAGATGAAAAACATACATTTGATTTACAGAAACTGGGCTGCAGTACATAGTCCTATATAGTAACACTTAACAGCTAATTCAGTTGAAAGATTAAAATACTTAAAGATTTAGAAAACACTTGAATAAAACTGGTCTTTTTTATTGACTTACTTGTTTACCATGCTCTTGTCTCTTTTTCTTGAAATATGGTAATGTATTTTCTTGAAAAATGTTAATAATATTGATAATAATGATAATAATAATAACATGAAACAACAGCATTAATATTTTTCCATTGGTGAAATTATAGCGTTCAAGATTCTTACCAAAAATGCCATTCAACCAGACCAATGACAATGAGAACACATGGTCCAACTCCAAGCCCAGCATACAGAGCTGCATTTCCACTCCCTGTGTGCACAGAAATGTTGAAGTAAACTGAAAGTTAAACTAAATTATCAAGTGTTTTTCAGCTTAAAAGGTTTTCTCCCATTATTTATACCTTTTACAGTGACAGTCTCTGCAGCTGATCTCTGAGATCCGTGTTCATTCTGAGCCTCACAGTAGTAGGATCCACTCTGTAGAACACTGTAACTGAATCCAGCTCCTATAGGTGAGGTTTCACCTTCTTTAAACCAGGTGTAGTTCTGCACAGGTGGGTTTGCATCACTGCTGCAGTTCAGAGTCACTGAACTGCCCTCTGCTGTTTCACCAGGGGACATTGAGACACTCTTTGGACGATCTAAAAAACACATTATGGTGGAGTGATTGAGTGGTCTATGTGAACATATTAACTACTTACATGAAACATTCAGAGTTAGAGCTTCAGAGTGTTTCTCTCCATGTTCATTACTGGATCTGCACTTGTATTCTCCACTGTCCACAGAGCTGATCTTGTTCATTGTGTAAGTCTCTCCTTTTGCTACTAATGATTCCTTTAAACCAGTTATATTCCACAGGTGGGTTTGCATCACTGCTGCAGGTCAGATTCACACCTTGGGTCATTCTACAGAAACGTCAATTTTTGTGTCCATAGCGTTTACAGATGTATTACACTTAAAAAACGTGTTAGGGTTACAATTTATTTATATTTTAAAAAAACAACAGTTATTTTAACAATTACACCCACTTGAACCTCAATTTAGCAATATTGTTTTTTAAATCAATTATCTAGAATTCCAAGCACCACAGAAGTGCTTGTCCCCACAGTCATGTGTAAAGGGTGAGGCCATATTTTGAAGAAAAAACAAGTTTTTCTGCAATTTTAACTACAATAATCTATACATGACTATGAAATATATGATTTACATGACAAATGCCAAATAAATATTATTAAATATATAATGAAAACTGTTGTCCCCAGGAGTCATTGGTGTTACCGCATAACAAAAAAATCTCTTATTTTGAAATAAAAATCACACTGATGACATCAATTGTCTTCCTTTTACCTCTTTTCTGAGGATCTATGAAAAAAGCACATGGTAAATCCACTGTGTCTTTTCAGTTATCAGAAATTGTCTCATTTAGCTCATGATTCCATATGAAGCTTTTAGTTGAAGTCACTGGTGTGACCAACTTTATTCTTAGGTAACTGTGAAAAAATAGGATACAAATGGATTAAATTACATATTTTAGTGAATATTTCATGATTGACAACATGTGGTTTGCTGTTCTGTAGCATCGATTGTTACTGTCTCTGGTGTTACCTTTCTTATGTCATCTGACTTGTCGTTGATATTTAGACTTTCAAACAAAATTATTTTTGAGTTTGACTGTCAATCATGTATTAGTCATATAATAGTCTGTAATAGTCAATTATGTAATAGTCTGTACTGAACAATTTTACCAAACATTTCCAAATGAATCATTTCTACAAGCTATTATTATTTTGTGAACATGTCTGAATACAAAATTGAAAAATAAAAAGAGTAGATATGTTCATATGCTCTTTCATAGCTTTATCTAATTAGCAAGCACCCTGTTTAAGCTCAGATGTGTTGGATCTGGGAAAATACAAAACTGTGAAGGACATAGGATCTCCAAGAAAGAATTTTTATGTTTTTCACAGTTTCTCATTGATCTACTACTTTTTTAAAAAAAGATTTCTGTATCAGCTTTGGGTTAAATTTGATCACAAACAGTTGAACATGAACCCTCAGCTTTGTTTGTTTTCTGAGACTGAATGAATGAATCTGTACTTACATCTGACATTAACAGTGACCACAGGAGAGCGAAGACCCAGTACAGCACAGCGATACCTGTCCTCATTATTACTGCTGACCGCCTGCAGGTGGAGTTGGTCAGTACTGGAGGATAAACGATGTCCATTTCTGTACCAAGTGAATGTTGGTCTGACTGTCAGACTGCAGGTGGTTTTACATGTGAGAGTGACTTTATCTCCCTCTATCACTCTCTCAGGAACCTCCACCTGGAGATCTGAGAACCAGAGAAAACAGACTCACACTGTGGAGTCTCACACTAGCTGAGTGAGTGTACATCAATGGTGTTTATTTATGCACGAACGTGGAATTATATTAAAATATAACATTGAAAACAGATCAAACCACTGCAGTTAATGCACAAATATTTTAAATTTAACTTTAAAAAAAGCATAATTTGAGTGCTGTTCACTTCCTCTTAACTGAGTCAGAGTCATATGAGTTATAAAATCATGAGTAAAATGTGTTCTAAACCTGTGCAAATTGTTGTTCCAAAGGTTTAAGTTTACATATTTACAGAATATGTAAAGAAAAAAAAGAAAAACTGCAGAACCAAATGCACTGTTCTCTCTGCAACTCACCCAAGATCACACAGTCAGGTCTACAAATTATTGAAAATCAACAAATTTGTTATTTATTTATGTCAGCCACAGCACATTCTGCTACTAATTTGTAAGGCTCTAAGTGACCTTAAAGCCCCTGTTTACACTACAGAATGTCTATCTGTTTATGTCCCAACACTTATATAGATCATAGATCTGCAGATACTGACGTTCTGAACACATTCTGTAAAATACAGAAAACATGGAGACTCTTTCAGTTAATCTGCTTCTAAACTGCAGAACTCAAATCCACCTTTTATTAGACAGTCAAGCTCAGAGCTCACTTTTAAGAAACATCTAAAAACTCTTTAACTTGGCATTTAATTAAAACTCTGCTTCTCTTGATATTTATCTTTTCAATTTGACCTGTGTCTATTTTTATATGATTTTAATCTACTCATAATTTCTTGTATTACTGTTGAGCTTTATCACCTGTCTGTAAAGCACTTTGGGCTGCCACTGGACATAAAACGTGCTATATACATAAATATATATAGCACTATGTATCTTGGAGCACCAGACTTTCAGGTTTAGGTAAGGTATAGGATTTGTGTGTGTTATTCCCTCAATTACTTCTCTTACAACAAGGTGTACGTGTTTGTTAAACCTCAGAAAAAGGAAGACTGAAATAGAGTTTACCTAAATAAATAAATAAATAGCTAGACTATACAGTTCTGAAACAGCAACTTATGGAAAGATGAGACAAAGATCAACTTGTATCAGACTGATGGGAAAGAGAAGAGAATGGAGAAGAGAAGGAACTGCTCTTGATCCAAAGCATGTTAAATTCAAAGTCATTCTTGTAAGAGGTGGTGTTAACTGAATGTGTACATGCTACAACCTAAGTTCTGCTAGTAAAAGTTTAAAACATTTTGATGTAAAAAACATGTTTCCAGTGGGATCTATGCCAAGGTCACATGGTCTCCCATCTGCAGCACATGGAGAGACAGCACACAGACTATTCTGCATGTCCAGCTCCAGCTCCACCCAGGCTTCCCCCTCTAGAGACTCTGAACATGAACTCTACTACTATTTTGTGTTGACTGACTTCACCTCCAGCTCCAACTCCACCCAGGCTCTACCCACAGATAACTAAACACAGCTGCAGCTCATTCCTCGAGTTAACAGCTCACACATATATAGGCCTGTTGTTGTACCTGCAAAGTCTCTGTTGCCTCTGAAGTCATATTTCTTGTCGTCTATATGAGGACCATGCTTGGCAGTCATTCAGTTTACCTATGATTATATTTTTATACCATTAGGGGACCATGTACGTACATGATTAGGAGTAGTTCTTAATGTATGCCCATTATCATGCACAAAAAATAACATTGTAAGCATAAGAATGTGTATGTGCACGACTGATGAAGAGACCCTCGGACAGTAGACGTTTCTCCTTCACACAACACAATTATTAGTGTGTAAGGCAGTACAAGCCTCATCTCAACTGTATGATAGCTGCCACTACAGTTAATGAACTACTGCTAATACAGCGCTTTTAAACACCTCAGTGTGCTGACCAACTCTGACTAATGTACTACAGTTAATGAACTACTGCTAATACAGCCCTGTTAATCACCACAGTGCGCTGACCGACTCTGACTAATGTACTACAGTTAATGAACTACTGCTAATACAGCGCTGTTAAACACCTCAGTGTGCTGATCGACTCTGACTAATGTACTACAGTTAATGATCTGCTGCTTATACAGCGCTGTTAAACACCTCAGTGTGCTGACCAACTAATGTACTACAGTTAATGAACTACTGCTAATACAGCGCTGTTAAACACCTCAGTGTGCTGACCAACTCTGACTAATGTACTACAGTTAATGATCTACTGCTTATACAGCGCTGTTAAACACCTCAGTGTGCTGACCAACTCTGACTAATGTACTACAGTTAATGATCTACTGCTAATACAGCACTGTTAAACACCTCAGTGTGCTGACCAACTCTGACTAATGTACTACAGTTAATGATCTACTGCTAATACAGCGCTGTTAAACACCTCAGTGTGTTGATCAACTCTGACTAATGTACTACAGTTAATGATCTACTGCTAATACAGCGCTGTTAAACACCTCAGTGTGTTGATCAACTCTGACTAATGTACTACAGTTAATGATCTACTGCTAATACAGCGCTGATAAACACCTCAGTGTGCTGACCGACTCTGACTAATGTACTACAGTTAATGATCTACAGCTAATACAGCGCTGATAAACACCTCAGTGTGCTGACCGACTCTGACTAACGTACTACAGTTAATGATCTACTGCTAATACAGCGCTGTTAAACACCTCAGTGTGCTGATCAACTCTGACTAACGTACTACAGTTAATGATCTACTGCTAATACAGCGCTGTTAAACACCTCAGTGTGCTGACCAACTCTGACTAATGTACTACAGTTAATGATCTACTGCTAATACAGCGCTGTTAAACACCTCAGTGAAAAGAGAAATCCACTCAGAGAAAGAATACAAACCACTTTTGGCCTGAATTCTCGTTCTCCATTTCTAAGCAGTGTGTTTCTCATGTGTTCTATGAAGGATTGATATGATTATATTACAGAACTGCTTTGTGATCCTGAACACCAGTGAATGAAGTACAGTGTCTCATTTCTGCTGATGGATCTTACCTGTGACTGAAACATCAACTCCACCTGCACCTTGATACTTTCCTCCAGGTTGGTCTGTTATAAATGTGAAGTAGTATTTACTTTGATCATTTTCTCTCACAGTCTTAAATCTGAGAGTGCAGTCACTGTGTTCATCTCCGAGGTACTGAACTCTGCCTCTGTACTCTGGATCATCTAACAGATCAGGAGGTTCTGAACCAGATGTAACCAGCTCCTTAGTCCAGAAAGCTTTTTGGACTGAGTGATTACTTGGAGGTGTGTAAGTGCACTCCATGGTCACTGCAGACCCCTTTAGAGCACAGATAGATTTAGAGTTGTAATTCACAGCCCACCCGTCCTGAGCAACAACTCCTGCAACACAAAATACAGAAATGTGTAAATTATTAATGTTTGGGTCTCAGTCAGTAAAAATGCTTCATAAAGTCTCCAATTCAGCTCATTTCTAAGGCTGCCAGAATGAAGTTTGGAATAAAAACTTCAATAAGCTGAGGTGATCTGGAGATAAAAGAGTGGGCTATGGGGGCTGCAGAATGAAGGAAAAGTAATAACAGGAATAAAAACATATTCTTATAACTTTGCAGAGACGTAACAGCTCTGACTCACCTGAGATGCAGAGCAGAAACAGAAGCAGAGAAACAGTCAGAGACATTCTGAGTGAGATCAGCAGTTCAGCCTGTATGATCATAAAAGAAAATATGACAAAATGCTTTACTTACAGAGTCAGGGTGTCAGGGTTATCAATACCCTTAAGCTGCCCAACCATTTTCATAGTGTAGACAGAAAGTGCTAAGCTGAAACATACTTCACTTTCCATTTGAGTCTTGTTATGTATCAGGCTTCCATCCTGAAACTTCATGTGATATGAAAAAATAACTCTCTGACTCATATCCACTGCTGTGGGATCAGCCCTGCCTGTGGTTGGATGTTTGTCATTTTGGGCCCAACAGGAATATTCAAAAAACAAGGTTGTAAATGATGGTGTGATGCCAAAACAAAGGCAATAGGATTTCCTGTCACTGCTGCTTCTGGATATGAAACTAAACAGTGTAGGCCATGCCTGATGGATTAAACATTTAACCAGTTGGTACACATGCAAATTTTGAAGCCAGTAAACAGAAAGGAACGAATAGTGTCTTCTAGACCTTCAGAGGAGGCCTACTGATTTCTGTGAAATAGTTTTAAACAACAACATGTCTGTACATTCTTGGTTTATTATTATTTAAAATGATCATCAAGCTTGTTATATTTAAAACATACACATTTTATAGAAATATTCTTATTTTATTGTTATGTTTAGGTTGGAAACAAAAGGGTTACATTTTTTCCCTGCTGTGGTGTCTCGGTACAAACCCAGCTCCAAAAAGGTTGAACAGTATGCAAAATGTCAATAAAAACAGAAAGCAGTTATTAATAAATTCTATTTGACCTGCATTAAACTGAAAACAATCAAAAGCACAGTATTTAATGTTTCACCTTATGAGCTTTATGTCATATGTGATGCCTGCAACACATTCCAAAACATGGTTATCACTGTCTAGCATCACTTTTCCTTTTAACAGCACTTAATAATAAAAACATCTGGGGGCTAAAGACACCATTTGATCCAGTTTTTAAAATAAAATTACTTTATATTGTTCCATTATACAAGCACTCTCCGATTATACAGCCATGTTGTTTTGATGTGCAGAATGTTTCGTGTCGTTGTCATGTTGAAAAAATAGTGGGCGTCCCTGAAATGCTGTGTTCATAGATACTTTCTTTTCTGTAAAACTGATTTCAGCACAGATTCTTTTTTATTGTACATGCCTGCAAAGGACCATGGGACATTCAGTGACTTGGAAATGTTCCTGTAGCCATTCCCTGACTTGCGCTGTTCTTTTCTCTTCATGGTGTATTTTAGGCCATGAAATAAAGGTTGAACCTTCTATGTACAGGTGTATTTATACTACAATCACCAGGAACCTCTAGACTGCACACAGTTCATCTCCTTTTAACAAATTATGTGACTTTTGACACCAACCGGCTGCAACAGTGATGATTTAGGAGAGCCATATTAAAGGAGGTGAATACTTTGTGTTTTATATTTGTAATGATTTTAATTCACTTTGCAGAGATCTGTTTTCTCTCTGACATGAAAGTGTTTCCAATGCTATATGATAATGAAACACAAAAGCTTCGAAGGGGCGAAAACTTTTTATAGTCACTCAATTTGTTAAGCTACACTGTTATAAAAGACAGTTCTTCAAGGGTTCCTCAGTAAAGAAAATGGTTCTATATAGAACCATCTATGAAAGAACCATTCATAAAGCACATACCCAACAACATAATGGTTCAGGTTTACGTTTTTTCCCATTTTCCAACTTTCAAAAGCTGGTAGAGCTGCTAAAAGTAAATTGAGACCCAGTGAATACATGGTTAGCTTGGCACCAGAATCAGCACGAAACACATGAAAAGATATGTAAACACTTTAGATAAAGTCTACGAGGAGAAGTTTAACTTCTTATTTTAAATTTTCTGTTCCGCCTTAAATGGTGCTGGTTCTAAGGGTCTACAGGAAACTAGTGCTAATGGTCACCAATAAGCCAATTCCCAATAGAAAGCAAACCATCAGGTTAATCCTAATGGTTCTAAGACTCTTTTTTCAGCAGGGTATGTATCTCAGTTGCAGTTTGTTTCCTGTTCTGGGGTCGACACTTAACGAACACCGTTTTGGTTGCTGCTGCATTGTAGCCCCCCAGCTCAGGGGAGGAAAATGTACAGGAGTGAACTTTCTGCCCGCTTGAGAATTTGTCCTGCCCATCCATAACGCCAAAACAGGAGCACTGCCTGTGCTACTATAACAGTGTTTATTATTGTGGGGTTCTAGGGGGGTTGAATAGTCAGGAACCTCTGCTCAACTAAAACAGCAATAAGAGTATTTTCCTACCTTCATTAAGCGACGTTCATCTCCTGAATCACAATAGCGACTGCGGAGAACATGAAGAGGTTAAACTGTGTTGCTGAGTTCCTCACACGTTCTTATCTTTTTGTTCCACTGGCTCCCCTCCCCTCCCCTCCCCATCCTTCCTTCCTTCTACTGAGCACAAAACATGCAGTAGTTCTTACTGGTTCAGCTGGAAAATTGTATTGCTTTGAAGAGCTACTCTATGTTTAAGAATATTAAATGGACTTGAGTGACATTGTTAACTTTCCCCCATTTAATCAGTTACTTGTATTTAATGTAATGTGTGCAGTAACTACATTTTCTAAACTAGAAATTCAGTTTCTCTTTACAGAATAAAAAAGTAGGACTGAATGATATTCAGTGTAAAAACACTACATGAGCAGTATATGGAAAGAGTGATATTATTTATCTCAGCACTGCCATTTCCTGAGCCTGGAGTTCAGAATTAGGCAAATACAATATGAGGAAGGAGAAGAGAGCATTTCTAAATAAGCACTGACCGTAGCAGAGCTGCAGCGCAGCATGTTTTTAAGCAGAAAACTGATGCACAAGGTAAATATATTAGCAGGTAAATATAAAGTTAAATATAAAGCTCAAATGCTTTATTCGGTAACACAGTAACACTTTCTATGAATGTCACCTTTGTATTATAAAGTACTGATCATAACAAATTATAAGAGCTCATAAGTCGTATTTGTCCGCTCTAAGTAAAGTGAAGCATACTGTACTAAAGCCTCCTCTAGTGTTCAGAGTGAGGCTTCAAGTTGAAGTATTTACTGAAGGATTTACTGAAACACTAAAACATACACAATAAAGCACATTACAGGCTTCAAATGTCAGATTTTACACTAGTGCTGCCATCAGTGTTTAACCCAACATGGGAAAGTCAATGTACACCACCGTTAGCTTGGTATTTGTCTTTACTTTACACTTTCCAAGCTGGGACTGACTTCATTGGCACTGACAGTATAACATTATCGACACTACTTATAATGCATTATATTAACAATTCATAATGTATAATAAACATGGCTATAAAGTGTAATTCATTTTTATAAATGTTTATAATCATGCTTATAATGCCATATGAATGCATTATAACATCTTATAAATGTGTTTATAGATGCTTACAAACGTGACATTTACAGAAAGTGTTACCGGTAGCACTTTCTGTGAAGCCCGTAAGAATAAGTCATGATAACTGTGGTTACAACTATTTGTAACTTGGTAATAATGCTTTATAAGCATACTTATAAACTGCAGTAATGCCTCATAGGGCTCTTATAATGAAATCTAATTATTTTATAACCTATAAACGGGTAGTTATACAAGTGTCACTATTCATTATAATGGCTTTTAAATGGATTATGACCCGTGCATAATTATACAGCACTCATAATACATAATAACAGTTATAACCACATTATAAATTCTTACAATGCCAACATTGAGTGCTTCAAGTAGAGTGATTGATATTTATGTTATTCTTTATTATAAATAAATGATAAGGTACTATAAACATAATTTTTGTAAAGTGAGGTGAAACATTTAATTTCCAACTAATTATAAAAAAAAAAATCTTTATTTCTCAAATTTATAAAAAAGAGAATAAGAAATTGTTCTTCTACAGAGATACATCTTTTTGTGACTGTTAGTCACTGTTACTGTTTTTTTTTTTTTACCAGAACTCCCTTTATGATTTAACCAGTCTTTACTAAGATACCTTGAGCCTTTCTGTTAACCTAAGCTGATCAGGGAATAATTTGGCCCAACAGGCAGCCAGTGGAAATGTTTTTTGATCATAATCACTGATCATTCTCTAGCATTCAAAGAGCAACTGATATTTGCTTTAGGACTGTATCATTATCATTGGTTTTCTTTCAATTTGCATGTATTCTCAATGTGTCAGTGTACGCACTGATATTTCCCAAATATGTAAAGTTTGTAATAAGTGTATGCAGTTCATACCAGACAAACTACTGATACATACTTTTCTCATGTCTGATGCCATTTTTGAGAGGGTTCTGCTGCTGGCAGCAACAGCATCATCTAAGAGGTCAATCTGTCACATTCGAAGACCTTGAGAATTGAAATTGAAAGAAATTGAAAGAAAACCAATGATAATTTGTTCAGCTGTTAACAGTCCATGCTGAAAAATCCAACTAAGACCAATATTTGTTGGTAACTGGTTTCAGATTGTCTAAGTTGGTCTTTGATGGTCAATAGCTAGATTCCTGCTGGTCTAATATGGTCAAGAAAAAAACACAAACAAACAAACAAAAATTATAAACCTTTCCCTAGCATTTCAAATATTTTCTCATTAAAAAAGTAGCATGTAACATAGAAATACGCAAAACCTACAAGTCAGAACAATATTAATAGAAAAAATGCCTTTTATTTATAGGAAAGAATTAGTAAATTAATTTAAATAAATAAATAAATAAATAAATAAATAAAAATACATGCACACATACAGACATATGTTTATGTTTTACTTAGCACTGATATCCATCATGTCGAGCAGTTTCCATCAGTTGCTTCTCCTGGTTACATCTGCAACGTTTTCGACGTTCTAAAAGGCCTCTTTTTTTGCATCCAGAGTAAAACGTCTCTTTTGTGGTTCAGGGGGTTTTCTGCATAGATCAGACTGGTAAGTCCTTTTTTATCTGTGTCATTTTATATAGCTGCTCATACAGAGTCTGTTTGTAAGTGCCACTGCATCGAAAGAGTAAAGTTTGCGCGCATATTTTTAAATCACTTCCTGTTTTTCTCTGGGATTTCTAGCTAGTTCACAGGCTAGGTGAACCAGCATTAACAACTGTCCAGATGTCTAAAGGTAAATCATATAAATGAAGCTTTTATGTATTATTTAAAAATACCTAAGCTTAAGATATACCTGACATTCATGCTTAGCCTTCAGTAGCCTATAACGTTACTCTACTCGAGAGTTACCGTCAGTTTTCTGTGACTAATGTTAGCTTAAAAACGTAGTGTAATAACCAGCTAGCTAATCTGTTTAGCTGTTTTGTTTTTGTTAGCCAAAAATGAATTGACTGAAAATCCAAACACTAAGACCAACCAGTATTTGTATTGTTTCTACAGCCTCCAATAGACGAAAAGCCCCTGGCTCTGTCACCACATCTCAGTCTCAAAACATAGGTAGGTTGTAATTTTAGATGTTATCTTACGTTCTTGTTTATTTGTTTTTAATATTAATCTGCAATCCTTCATCTTTATGCTCCAGACTTCTCCATAATGGTTGGCCGTAGTGCTTAAATCTGCTTGGTAATCTATATACTGGCAGATAATAATAGTGTTATCACGGCAGGTGTACTTACTACACAAAACTGCCACTGATCTTTCTGGTCATTCAAAACTCTCAACGTCTAATTTAAAGTTAAGTAAGTTAAGTAAAAGGTGATAAACATTAATTTATGAATGCAGCTTTTATTTTTTTTATTTTTTGTCCTGTTTTTCTCCTTCAGTCAGTGCTGCACCAAATGCCAGACATGAAATTGAGCTGCTGAAATTGCAGCTGGAGGCTGAGAAGGATAAAGGGAACCTCAGAGAAGAAACTATAAAAATACTTAAACAAGACAAAGAGCATCTCCAGTCACAACTGTCAAAGAAAGAAGAATTTATTCAGGAGCTGATCTGCTCAAAAATGGAAGAGATTCCTGGTCCAGGGAACTACCTTGGTAAGTTATTAGGAAGTTCAGATGTAACCATCATTATTTCCAGTTTCACATTTGTAAAGTGTCCCTGCATCCAAGACTTAGACTAAGTACAGTCATGACATGGATAACGTTACTCATTAGGCAGACATTTTACAATTACTAATAATGTAACTGTATAATAATTATGTATAGGGCTGCAACAATTATGCAATTAAAAACATTCTCATTGTCAAATGCATGTTTGTTTTAAATTAAATGTTGTATGTATATGAACTAAAAGTAAATATCTGCAGTAAAAATATATAAAGTTAAAGGTTTTGTTTAACTGGGTCTCAGCTGAACAGCTGTGCAGACAGAACTCTAGAGTAATGTTAAGAGTATGATTTCAAGAGTTTTTAAGAGAGTTTTAATCTGAGAGTTAAATGTCTAAAAACTCTAAAAACAAAATTAGCTTTATGGTAGCTGTGGTACTCTGGCCTATGAAGTAAAGATTTGTGTATTAATCACTGCTGCAAAATGAAAAGTGTGGCAAGTGACTGACAAGTGGCTAATTCATGAAATGAGTATCTCAAAGTAGCATTCCAGACTTCTCTAAATGGCATTAAAATGTAAATGCAAATGAATTAAAAGCTTTTAATTAAATTTGCTCTTTCTTGCAGATACCATGATAATGCATATTTTAAATTCTCCTACTGCTCTCTTACAGTAAGAAGCAGAGCCTCATGGGCACATTAGTTTTCTTTTTTTTCTGCATACTGTATATAGTATTAGAGATATTGGGATTTTTTTACATATTTATAGTTTTTTCAAGGTTTTTTCCAGTTTTTTAAAGGGTCATGGTATTTCCTTGTTTACGTAAATCAGTTTCTGTGGTTTGGTTTTGTTTGCTGCTAGTCTAAAGTCTTTATATGGTTGCTTTGTTTCTTTTTCCTAGTATTTCATAATCTTTGTTTGCTTTGTTATTGTTCAGTTGAGTTATCGTTTATTTGATGTACTTAACCCTTCAATGTCCTCACCAAGAAAAAAAGCGATGGAATTTTAATTTGTTTAAGCAATAATAAAAACAATTGGTGTTTTTTTTTTGTTTTTTTGACCCCACAATTTTTAAAATATTCACGTCTACCAAATGGTTGAGATGGCACTTTGTGACATGTATAGTGACTCAAAATGTGCTCTACCAAATGGTTGAGCAGAACATTAAAGGGTTAAAAAAAGATTACTCAATTAATCGGCAGAATAATCAAAGTATTAGCTAAAAGTAATTGATTGATATGGTCTAATAACAGAAGTCAACATGATATAATTTTTTTTTTTGACTGATTGAACCTTTACAGAAATGAAAGTGAAAGCCCATCCAAAGCATCAGATGCCTGAAAAGCCAGAGGAGTCTGATGGAGACTGTCTTCCTCTGTCTTGTCTGACTCATCTGTGAAGGTGACAAAGAAGAAATGCAAAATGCCAGCACACAAGAGAGATTTGAAGCACAAGAGAGACTCCTGAGCCCAAACCTGACTTCCATTGTGTGAGAGGTACATTTTTCAAAATAATGTGTCTTTACTTTATTCAATAAAACACTAACAAGCTAACACAGTATCACTGATACACAAGTACCACACTTTCATAGTGTTCCATGAAAGTTTATGTCAAAACTATCTGCAAATACTTTGGACTCTAAATTGATTTTTCTGTCTGTGTTCATCTCCAGAACCTAGTTATCTAGTTATTAAAGAGTTTGTGCTTCTACCAAAACATCATCATCATCATCATTAACCGCTTAGTCCAGATAGGGTCATGGTAGCAGTTGGGAGAGCAGAGAATCCCAGATGACCCTCTCCCCCGCAACTTCCTCTAGCTCATTCCCGGGGACCCAAGCCGCTCCCAGGCCAATTTGGAGATATAATCCCTTCAGTGGGTCCTAGAATGACCCCGGGGTCTTGTCCCAGTAGGCTGTGCCTGGTACACCGCCACCGGGAGGCGTCCAGGGGACCTCCTGATCAGATGCCCGAACCACCTCAACTGGCTCTTCTCTAGGCGGAGGAGTAGCAGCTCTACTCCAAGCTCCTCCCGGATGACCGAGCTCCTCACCCTATCGAGTGTAGCCCGCCACCCTGCGAAGAAAGCTCATTTCTGCCGCTTGTATTCACGATCTCATTCTTTCGGTCATTACTCAGAGCTCATGACCAAAATGACATAATTATGCACAATTTTTTTCTCTAGTCAAAAATGCAAGGTGCATTGTTACAAGATATAAGCTGGCTCTGGAAGCTTTCAAGAAAGGCAGCTCTATGAAGGCAGCCTTTGACAGCATTGGCCTGGACAGAGCCACCACTGACCGCACAGCTGTTGTTGCAGAGCTGAAAATAGCTGCATCAGAGCTCTTTGATAGCTTTGCGCCATGGAATGAGAGAGCTGAGAAACTTTCTGCTTTTGTAGAAAGGTGCTGTGGAGCAGTAACCAGTGATGTAAAGGAGGACTTTGCCAAATGAAAATAGATGGAGAGCTGTTGCTAATTGCAAATACTTTTTGAAAGTTGCTATTACTGTATTTGTTCTGATGTGGTTCCTGTGTGAAGGCAGAAGTTCCAGGCTAGACAGACACAATCAATCAGAAGTGCTTGACTCATGGCCCGTAGCTCTGTTTGTTTTTTTAAAGACTCAACAATGTTCTCTCCACATTCATTCTGGTGTATTTTTTAGTTGTCAGTTCTTTTTTCCAGAATTGTAACTTTTCTGTGCAACTGAAAAAAAGTGTAAATGCCTAAAAATTTGTTAGTTAAATTTCTCTTTTTCAGTATATGTGGTCATTGACAGTGAGCAAGAGTGTGTGCATTTTACACAGCTGGCATGCAGGTTGCCTTTCAATTTTGCCCTGCAATAAGAAAGTTTATAACATAATAAACTGCATTAATGTTTTTATGTACATGCTTTGTAATTATTTAACATTTACGTGTTCAAATTATAAATATTATAATTTAATTAATTCAATTTAATGTTTAATTCAATTAAAGGTGATTACAGTGGATTTATAATGAGAAATAATTTAAAATATAAATCATTTTACTTGAAGCACTCAATGATGGTGTTGGAAATAATGTGGTTATAATTGTTGTTATGTATTATAAGTGCTGTATAATCATGCACTGGTCATAATCAATTTAAAAGGCATTATATCGAATAATGACACTTGTGTTAGTACATGTTTATAAGTTACAAAAAAACTAATTATAGTTCATTACTGGAGTTTTTAAGTATGCTTATAAAGCATTATAACTAAGTTACAAAGACTTATAACCGCATTTATAATGACTTATACATACGGGCTTCATAGAATGTGTTAACATCACTTTTCTGTAATACGGTCAGTAATTACATTTTCCAAGACAAACACTTCAGTTTCAGTTCTGTTTACCAAATAAAAATATGGGAATGATTCAAAGTGAACTGGACAGAATGAGACTGTGATGAACGTTTAAAAGTAAAAACACTAAAAGGGCCATAATATTTAGTTCATATTCTGTTCTGATTGGCCTGTGGTGATGATGTTGGAGTATTTTTGTCATCTGTTGGTTTGTACTGCCATCTAGAGGAATGTATGTAATTACATGCACACTGTACTATAAGGCCCATCACTGACTGACAGCTGACACTTCATCCATCTTTCATTTCTGCTCACTCATATTTCAGTTATTTATTAACAACACAAATGCATTATTAGCTTTTTTTGTCTTCTTGGATCAATTATTAACAAAGGATCCTGCAGTCAATGAATATGACACAGGCTGGCACTCAGGAGAACAAAGATGAAGGAACTTAAACAATCTTCTAATGAAATGTTGCGTCTCTATAAACAGTGATCAGAGCTGTCCAGGCTGTGGTCTGTTCTGGGTTTCTTTATGAATAAAAGCTGTACAATAAAAAAAATATTGATGCCTTAAACCGAGTACACTGGATCTGGATTGAACAGTGTAGAAGACCACATTGCCAATTAAACTCATCAAATATCACACAAAACAGATGTATCAGCTTCAAAGCCCACCTGGCTAATTAGCAAGTCTGGCTAACAAAGACTTTGTTTTTTTAATGTATTGTATTTAATAGACTATCTAATTGTTGTCCATATAAAGCCTATAATCATATATTTACCTAACCTGAAGAACTTTTGTTTATTGTTTCATCATTTGTTTATTGTGATCTGTAGGCTGTATCTTTCTTTGTTTATTATTTTAGCACTATTAAGCTGAGAGATCATTGTGTTATGTATCATGTACAGTGGAATGCAAAAAGCCTGGCCATATTACATAATGTGTGAAAAGAAGTAAACGCAACATCAGCAAACTGTTTAAAAAACACTAAATATGTTAACACACAATTATTTTTATTTGATTAAAATTAAAAACATATAGTAACAGAAGCTTATACAGAAGTGCAAAAGGTTTTGAAAAAAATCACACATAGGCATCGATTTTACTATTTATACTTAGAAAAAATATTTAAAAACCTAAAATGTAATTTCTATTATTAAAAGCAGACATTTAATCAAGTAGGTACAGACTTTTGACTGGGACTGGATATTACATAATCAAGAGAAGTGAATTTTCACTTATTCTTATTTTGATATTTACACTGAGCCCTGCATAGCACGCCTATTGGAACAAAACCTTGTGTTTCCATTTTTATATTTTTTATTTATTTAATGATTTTTGATGTAATTTTAAAATTTCAGCTGTTTGAATTTTATTATGAATGGGCCAAAATTAATTATAAAAATAAAATAGAATAAAGACTCAATATTAATTTACATTACAGTCAAATGTTGTTTTCTTCTCGTGTAAAGTTACTGTTCTGAAGGTTTTGGTCCGACAATGACAACATGAGGGGAAACACGCAGTGAGCATGCTGAGATGTTCAATACGTAACATTATAAAAATATACATACAGCATATGTAACAAGATCTTTCAAAAACAAAAGCATTATAAGTCCATAATTAAGTGCAACATGTAAGTACAAAAGAAACATGGATCCAGTTGAGCACAGGCCCACCTCACAGTTGATTTAACAGATTAAAAAAACAATCATTTTAAATGTGGAAATTTCATTTCTTCAGTTGGAAATTCATTCTTTCCTAAATCTATTCATTTAAAAAGCAACTCCAAAACTTCAGAAGCCACTCAAACAATCTGTATTTACATAAACAATAAAATATAACGTGCACAAACACACCGAGCTTTAATTGGTGCTGTTCAAACAGGAGTTCTTTGCTGATTTGGTGGCTGAATTGAGGCAAAATTTTTCAAACATTTTAGTAAGATGTTGTAATATGAAGTATGAGTAACATTACGGCCGTATGTGAACAGAAAAGTTTAATTTTACCTGTGTACCTGTTTTTTCACACATTACCAGCTGACCAGTGCCATTGCTTAGCAACCAAACTCCTGAAATAACAACACTAATGCACAAAACATCAGTCCTCCAGTCCTAAGTCGAAAGCTGCTACTGCTAAGCTCTAAGGATTCCTATCATTTCTGACTCTCAGGGGTACAACACTGTGATGATAATGAACATCATCCTGATTGGACGGACCTGGATCAGGTGTTGAATCACTCATTTGATGTCAAATGGTAAGCATTGGCAGGTGAAGTATCCTAAAGTGGAAAAAAGCCAAACCATTAATACACATTACAAATGGCAAATCAGCAACATTCTTTTTTAAATCCTGTGCAGTTAGTTCAAGTACTACTATATACAACATGACATGTTTGTATTTATTTATTTTTACCAAAGCAAGCATGTATACAGTGAACGATTAATGATCTAAATGAATACACAGCAAGGCTCAGTCAGCATTGTGGAAGCAGAGAAAAATTCCCCTTTAGGAATATGTAGTTACAAATGGTATGTTTTCCTCTGTGTCCACATCTGGATACATGGTTTATGATACAGTACAAAAACATTACAGTTAAACAATTCAATATGCTGTAGATCTAATATGATCAGCTCTGATACAATCTAATGCAGAAAAATATAATTTCTAATTCCTCCATATTCCTTCCTGAACACGTCTTCTTAAAATCTTGAGTCTGCAAAATGTGGCTTTCACATGTAATCTTAAAAAAAAAGCCACATTGTGGAACAACTTCTTTTCTCTCTGTAGCCTGTGTCTTCCTCTTTCTGTTATGTGTATTATAGTGTCCAGGCCCTTGTTTGTAAGTGGCAGTGAGGACTTTGAGATGTCATAAGGCGTCTCATTTCTAATTTTGCCATTCAAAATTTTGCCACCCTTTATGCATATTTAGTGTAGCATTTAACAGTTAAAAACTGAGCATGGTTTTGTGTACTAAAACAAAAGTCAAACAACACAAACTAAAATGTGTGCTTGAGACTTGGCTCATGTATCTTCTTATTGTTTTTATATTGTGTCCTCAGTAGAACCTCTGACCTATATAGATCAAGTTGAACAGTCTGCTTTAGCTGTTCTGTCTCAGTCCGTCAGTTTCAGTGTGGTCCAGCCCATTTCCACCACTGCTTGTGGCCGAATCAAATCCTAACAGTAACATGTGGAAGTGTAGTGACTTATCAGCATCGGGGTAATGTGATACAAAGTAATCCGTTACAGTACTGCAGTTACTTTTTTCCTGTAGTGAAGTAGTGAAAGGGATTACAAGTTACAATTCTTATAATCACATTAGTTACTAACTTTCTAGCGAAAGGAGCAGGCTACACATTTGTTTGCTTGCTCACTGCTTAGTACATTTAGCTTTCTGATCTTTCACCGTATCTTGTTTCATTAAGTATTTAATCCTTGCCCTACTTCTTATAATGTTTTTCTTTGTTTTTCCAGCTTAACTTTTCTTCTCTCTCTGACAACTGAGAAAATGACATCCACAGAGGAACACAAGCTCCAGATGCTGAGCAGTGAACCCCAGCAGCTGGTTTGTCAGATCTTGGCACTTCTGGAGTGGCTGACTGAGACTCACAAGTGGAAAACTTCTAGAAGCAGCCTGGGGCGCCTCGTATGCAGCAGTTTCAGGTCCACCAAATCCGATGACTATGTTGACACAAAGGGAAGCACTGAACCAGGCATCCACAGCCAACACTGGCATTCACCAACATCACGCCTGGACTGGAGCAGGTCTAGGAATGTTTGTCCAGCCCATCGAGCGGTCCTATTTTGCATGCACACTATTAGTATAATGTCATTCATGCAGGGATGAATGACATCCAAAGTCCTAAAGTAGTCTGCCAACTTACTTCTAGACCCTATTGTTTTATGTTGTCCTACTGCATGTCTGACTAGCGTAACAACAGTTGAACACGGCTTGTACGCTATGGGAGCAACTTGACTGTTTTCTGGGAGCGACCAGCATTCTATAACTACATCCAAGCCACTTTGTTTCTATCATCTTGTGTGAAAATATAGAAAAGATAATACACTAGATCTGACTGAACTTAACAACAGTAAACAACAAATTAGTGAGCAGTACTGACAGCTGACAGGTAAGTGTTTTGAATGATATAGATGATCAGTCCTCCATTGCTACCATTCCCCTCTTTCTCTGGCATCATAATACTGTAGTGTCCCAGATGAGGATGGGTTGCCTTTTTGAGTCTTGGTTCCTCTCAAGATTTCTTCCTCTTGCTTTTAGGGAGGTTGTCCTTGCCTATATAAAAAGCGCTATATAAATAAACCTTGACTTGACTACTGGCTGTGCTGCTGTGGGGCCAGTAGTCCACTTATAATGTTTCAGTAGCACTGAGCAGTGCTTCTCCCTTGCTGCCTGTTCAAAACAAGAACATCTGCCTTTAAAGCTCAATGTTTCCCATGTCTTAATTTACGCAGATGCCACAATATATAAGCTTCTATTGGCTCTAAAAGGAGAAAGCTGCAAAATGTGTTCATAAAGGGCAGTATAAACAATCACCACAATAAAAAGACTATTAAGTCTATGTGTGTTGTTGGGGGTGGGTCTTATGACTTTTTCCATTTCAGGTTTATTAAAACAGTGTGGTTTCCTTTACCACTACTGTCACCCCGCTGAGACCTAAGAACACAATGATGCGACACATTATAATAGACACAGATATATGTGCTTTTTAACAAAATCATATTAAAAAGGATAGTAATATCTCTGTAACACCAGGCTACCATTAGATTAAAAAGAAGGCTAAACCACCATCAATTCCTGCTCACTGAGGCAACTTTAGAGTCAAATCTGAGCAGGTAAATCTTTGATAGGATGAGTAACACTTAAGATGATGCACAGAAAGGGAGAGAGTAAAGTGATATACATTTCAATAAACTTAATCATTTTTACTTATTTGATCTGTGTTGTTTGAACACATGGAAAAAAAGGATAGACTGTGTTTGCATGTGTGACATCTGCTTTTTTGCTGATACTGACTGGCATACATCATTCAGCAGTGCTGAAAATGTGGCCTACAGGAATGTATATTTTTAGGTATGAACATTAATTTAATTATATAATGTTGAAACTTTTTCAAAAGCTATCAGTTATTCACATTGCCTCTGTTTCTTTTGATGGATATGTTTACTTGCTGAGAGTAGTTTTTCTGCACAAAGGTCTAAGGTCTTCAGTTTTGCCTCATATTACCTGAAAATTGTTTAACTCAGTAAAGTAAATAGATAGATAAAAAATGCTCTTCAGAGACCCCCCTACAGAAGAGGTCTGGGCTAAGCCCTCAATCTTGATAACCTCTTATGAAGTCAAAACACAAAAAAGATCTGTTTTAATAACCTCATGAGAGTCAATATAACCTGTGAAATTTCAAACATTATGATATAAAACTAAACTATGCATGGTCAAAATGCAAAGTATCTAATTCCTGCATCCTTACGAAAGACAGCCTGCCCCAAACACATGTAGTATTAAAGGTCATTAAATAACAAAACACTTCTGATGCGAGATCTTTATAAATAACGTAAGCTTGATTTTATGTTTCTGTGGGAAACATGTCTAAATGAAGAGCAACTTTACATGAAGCCGCTCCTGAAAACTACAGCTTTATGCAGACAGTGGCACTATTTATAATAGTGATTTTATCTGCAAAAATACCATCGTTGGTGAATTTATGTCTTTTGCCAATGTCACACTCGATCATTTTAGTGACACCTCTGTGTTACTAATTGCAATATATAGACATCCCAAGCAAAGTAGTAATTTGTGGCAGAATTTGCAGTATTACTATCAATTGTAGCCACAATCTATGATAAAATTCTTCTCTGGGCACTTTATGTTGCACATGACAACAAATCATATGCCGCTTGTTATGACTCCCCCGGTCACAATAGCCTTTCTTTGTATCTGTTTTGTGTGTTCCTTCCATTGTTGTATTATGTGCAGCTACACGATTGGCCACTCGGGGGCGCCCTCCTATATAAAAGGTCACCAAGCTTTTATCTCAGAAGATGTTAAGGACTCTCTCCCCTCTGACATTACCTGGAAGTCCGTCTGTCCAGACCAACCCAGCACTCTTCACTCCAGTCTCCTTCCCTTCGCCTCTATTGTTAAAATTGTGTCCGCTTTATTAGACTTTGTTAGCTTAGGGATAGTAGGAGACGAGTGCCACTTTGCTTTGGTCAATTTTTCTCCTGTTTTAACAATGGGACTATTTTTGGAATTCTTAGTAGTTTTGTTTGTTGTTTTGGCATACACTTGTCCCTGAAGCCAACACCCCATTCAGTTTAGCCTCTATCAAACTTGCTTACTTTTTTAAAAAGTCTAAATAAACCTGCAGTTATATATATATATATATATATATATATATATATATATATATATATATATATATATATATACACACACACACACAGCTCAAAAAAGGAAGGGAACACAATCATCACAGTATAACACCAAGTTAATTAAAGTTAAGCATAAGCAACTGTGAATCAAGGAATGGTTTTGCAGGTGGTGGCCACAGACAGTTACTCTCTCCTTATCATTCCTGACTGATTCTTCTCTAGTTTTGCATTTTGCTAGTGTCCTTGTCACTACTGATAGCATGAGCCGATACCTGCAGCCCATTCAGGTTGCACAGGTAGTCCAGCTCCTCCAGGATGGTACATCCATACTTGCTGTCGCAAGAAAGTTTTCTGGGTCTCCCAGCACAGTCTCAAAAGCATGGAGGAGATACCAGGACACAGGTTGGTACATGAGGAGAGCTGGACAAGGCTGTAGAAGGGCCTTAACCCAACAGCAGGAGCTGCATCTGCTCCTTTGTGCAAGGAGGAACAGGAGGAGCACTGCCAAAGCCTTAGAAAATGACCTTCGGCAGGCTACTGGTGTATGTGTTTTTGACCAAACTGTCACAAACAGAGGTAGGTAGAAATCCTCAGAGCCATTGATAGACCTTAAGCTGGTTACAGAAATGTTTAATCATTATTTTGGGAGGGATGGGTTACAACTCATAGTGCTTTGCACCTTGCAGCTTAGGGGTCTGTGTAGCCACAGACAAGTCAGTGTGCCCATGCTGACCCCTGCCCACTGCCAAAAAAGCCTACAATGGGCACTTGAGCATCAGAACTGGACCTTGGAGCAATGTACGAAAGGTGCCTGGTCCAATGAGTCCTGTTTTCTTTTACTACTCGCTTTGGATGAGAGCGTCTACTAAATGCTGTAAATGTAAATGTAAAACATAATGTGGACAGCCAGGTATGAAGTGATGGCACCAGTATGCACTGTGGGAAGAAGAAAAGCTGATGGAGGGAATGTGATGCTCAGGGAAATGTTCTGTTGGGAAACCCTGGGTCCAGGCACTCATGTCGATATCAGTTGCCATGTGCCAACATTACCTAACATTGCTGGGGACCTGGTACAGCAGTGATAATTCAGCAGGATAAGGCACCCTGCCCCATTTCAAACATTGTTTGAGAATGGTTTGTAGAACATTATGAGTTCAAGGTGTTACCCTGGTCTACAAATTCCCCAGATCTCAATCCAATCAAAGCATCTGTGGAATGTGCTGGAACACCAGATCCGATCTGCGGTGGCTCCATCTCTCAAATTACAAGACTTAAAAGATCTTCTGCTAATGTCTTGGTGCAGTGAACTTTCAGACGTCTTTTAAAGTCCATGGTTCGGCAGGTCAGAGCTGTTTTTGCAGCATGCAGAGGACCAACAGGTGGTCATATTTTGGCTCATTTGTGTATTTGTATGTTTTCTTCTCTATATGTTGCAGTCTTATGATGACTAGTAAATGTTTGAAATTTTTTCTCAACATTGTTGTCGGAGTCTGTTATCTAGGAAATCTTTAAGATCACAGAGAATGTATAATGGAGGCTACTTGAAGTGAGTTTTATCAATGTAAATGCATGACGACGGATTTTTACCACCGATGTTGGGGGTAACGTGGTATGAAAGTAACATGTCACAACAATGTAAACACTCTTTCCAGTAACATAAGGTACAGTTTAAATTTTTGTAATCACATTAGGGTTACTGACTTCATAATAATGACCTTATCTGCCCTACTCACACATCTTTAAAAAAGCAAAATAAATTCTGAATTATATTATATTAACTTATGCCAAATATGCAACTTCTTATTCCATTACAGACTGAACTGCTAAATGGAAATTCAAAACAATATCATAAAATACTACTGGAATATCAGAACAAATAAAATGCATTAAATTGTAACCTTTACATTAAGCATAACAAACACAAAAAACCAAATATGAAATAAGCAGTAGATGAAAAAAAAAATAAAATTTGATTTACAGAAACTGTGCCGCAGTACACAGTCCTATAAAATATAATCTAAAAGCTAAATCAGTTGAAAGATTAAATTACTAAAAGAAAACACTGTAGAAAACACGAATAAAACTGGTCAGTTTTCATTGACTTACTTGTTTACACGGCTCTCGTCTCTTTTTCCTGAAATAATAATGATATTAATAACATTAATAGTCATAATAATAATAACATGAAACGACAACATTAATATTTCCACTGGTGAAATTATAGCGAGCCAGATTCTTACCATAAATACCATCCAGCCAGACCAAAAACAATGCCAAAAATAAATACTCCAAGCACAGCATACAGAGCTGTATTTCCACTCTCTGTGTGCACAGAAATGTTGAAGTCAGTTGAAAGTTAAACTAAATTAAAAATTAAACTAAAGTGTTTTTCAGCTTAATAGGTTTTCTCCCATTACAAATACCTTTTACAGTGACAGTCACTGCAGCTGATTTCTGAGATCTGTGTCCATTCTGAGCCACACAGTAGTAGGATCCACTCTGTAGAGCACTGTAACTGTGTCCAGATCCTACAGGTGAGCTTCCACCTTCTTTAAACCAGGTGTAGTTCAGCACAGGTGGGTTTGCATCACTGCTGCAGGTCAGAGTCACTGAACTGCCCTCTGTTGTTGTATTAGAGGATACTCTGACATTCTTTGGAGGATCTAAAAAGTATAATGTTGAAGTGATTGAATGGCCTATATGAATGATCGCAAGTTGCTGGTGAATATTAATTAATTACTTACACTAAACATTCAGAGTTAGAGCTTCAGAGAGTTTCTCTCCATGTTCATTACTGGATCTGCACTTGTATTCTCCACTGTCCACAGAGCTGATCTTGTTCATTGTGTAAGTCTCTCCTTTTGCTACTAATGATGTTCCTTTAAACCACTTATATTCCACAGGTGGGTTTGCATCACTGCTGCAAGTCAGAGTCACTGAACTATCCTCCACTATTTCACCAGAGGGACTGATGGATACTAAGACACTTTTTGGGCCATCTAGAGGTAGAATGACACATTACCTTTTATGCATGTGCTTTTTTGAATAAGTAATACATTTTTGCAGAACTACTACATTATGTTTTATTGCAGATACACATATTTAACTTCAGCGTATGAAGATTATTGTTGTTTGCAGCTTTAGGATTCATTTAATCAAAGACTCAGAATGACTGTCATCCCATTTTTTTTTTTGGGATGAAAATTAAATATTGATTCCATCAGACTTGCAGTTGATACATAAACTTTCAAAGTTATTTTTGAGTTTGACTGTCAATCATTAGTGTTAGTCAGTTCCAAATTAAACATTACTATAAGCTGCTATTACTCTGAAAACATGCCTGCATACATAACTGAAAAATAAAGACAGTAGATATGTTCATATGCTCTTTCATAGCTTTATCTAAGTACCAAGTACCCTGTAAAAGCTCAGTTGTGTTAGAACAGTTGAACATTAACCCTTAGCTTTGTTTGTTTTCTGAGACTGAATGAATGAATCTGTACTTACATCTGACATTCAGAGAGACCTCAGGAGAGCGAAGACCCAGTACAGCACAGCAATACCTGCCTGCATCCTCCCTGCTGACTGGCTGCAGGTGGAGTTGGTCAGTACTGGAGGATAAACGATGTCCATTTCTGTACCAGGTGAATGTTGGTCTGACTGTCAGTCTGCAGGTGGTTTTACATGTGAGAGTGACTTTATCTCCCTCTATCACTCTCTCAGGAACCTCCACCTGGAGATCTGAGAACCAGAGAAAACAAACTCATACTGTGGTGACTCACACTAGCTGAATGAATGTAACACTGGTGTTCTAAATATTGATGCACTAAAGTGGAATTAAAATGTAACATTGAAAACAAGTCAAACTACTGCAGTTACTGCACAAAAACTTTAAATTTAACCTTTAAAAAGTTAATTTGAGTACCTGTTCACTTCAATTCCTCTTAATTGAGTCATAGTCAGAGTCCGCAGACTGCATTTATAAAAGCGTGAGTAGAACGTGTTCTAAACCTGTGCAAATTTTTGTTCCAAAGGTCTAACTTTACACATTCACTTAATTAAAAAGGGAAAAAAACTATGAAAACCAAATGCATTGTTCTCTCCACAACTCACCATAGATCATACAGTCAGGTCTATAAATATCTGAATTTTGACAAATTTGTTATTTTAGCTGTCTAGCACAGCACATTCTGCTACTAGTTTGAGTGACCTTAAAGCATTGGTTACACCAGAGAATGTCTGTTTACGTTCCAGCATGTGATCTTAGATTTGCATATACCGACCTTCTGCAAATACCTTCTGTAAAATACAGAAAATGTGGAAAGACTTTCACTTAATCTGCTTCTAAACTGCAGAACTCAATTCCACCTTTTATTAGACAGTCAAGCCCAGTGCTCACTTTTAAGAAACATTTAAAAACTTATCTCTTTAACTTGGCATTTAATTAAAACTCTACGTCTCTTGGTATTTATCTTTTTAATTTGACCTGTGTCATTTTTAATATGATTTTAAATTACTCATAATTTCTTGTATTACTGTTAAGCTTTATCACCTGTCTGTGAAGCACTCTGAGCTGCCACTGGCATAAGAAGTGCTATATACATAAAGATTATTATAATTATTATAAAGATTATTATATTATATTGGAGCTCCAGACTTTCAGCTTTAGGAAAGTTATAGGATTTGTGTGTGCTATTCCCTCAATTACTTTACTTACAACAAGGTGTTACTTCACCTACAACAGCCTCAGAAAAAGGAAGACTGAATTAGAGTTTGCCTAAAATAAATAAATAAATAAATAAATAAATAAATAAAACGCCTATACCGTTCTGGGTAACACTTTACATTAAGTGTTGACTAACTAACATGAAGTAATGCATTAGTTAACATGAACAAGACATGAAGTAATGCATTAGTTAACATGAACAACACATGACACAATGCATTAACAATGGTTACCTAATGTTAAGTAAACATGTTACGACTGCATTAGTTAATGTTGTTTTCATGTGAAGTGTTGACTCATTAACATTAAGTAATGCATTTATTAACAACTAAGGTTCTACATTGATAATGGTTAACTAATGTTAATTAAACATGTTACAACTTCATTAGTTTATGTTCTAGTGTTTTGCTTATGTACTGCAGTTAGACATAATGCTTGAAAAAGCAATGTTAAGTAATAGTTTAATTGGCTGAAATGACACTTTACCAATGGCAGCTACTAACTATTTTTATTTACTTACTTCCATTTACTGATGTAGTGTTTTGTACTGTATTTTTAAATGATAACACCTTTACTTCTCCCTACTGCTTTTCCCTCAGTTCCATTTCAGTCATTAAGGTTTAGTTGCTTGTTGGGGTTTCATTGTGTCATCTTGTTGAGGTGGTTCAGCTCCTGTTTTGCTTCTTTGTTGCTCACACCTCTCACTTTGGAGCTTTAATATTTTATTTTAGATGCAAAAGGAAATAAAAAGCTAATAAAATAGTCTTCAGTTCCTCTGCTGAGGGATTCTGGATGTACTGAGCTTGACTGGACCTTTCCAAGTTACTCATTACTTATGTATGTAAATGAGCACAAGGTAATATATTATTTTATATATAAAAGCTTACACTAATATGCTACATTCTGATGTATGTTAGATATGCTTCTGTGTGTATTGCAAGAAGGAATTATACATACCATTCTCTCAGTCATATCAGTCAGGCCTGGATGGGGCAGCATACTGAAATTATTTACTTATCTACTCCATTTCTTTTCCTTATTCCAAATTTTATCATGCATGTGTGAGTGTGAATTGGACAAAATGTTAGGGTCATCATATATTTAGAAATTGTAAATATAGACATGATCGTATAAACAGACATTTTCATCAAAGGAAACTACTCAGAGAGCATAACATGCTTTATGTTAAAACCAACAATGTCTTAAAATGCATTACAAACATCTATTAAACATCACTAAACATTAATAAGGTTGTGTTCTGTGAATTGAATGTACCTGATATAAAATGAAAGAGTAGTACTGTATTAGTGAAAATGAAATGAATGAAATGAAGCTTTTAGCCAACTGTGTCTGAATACATCGGAATTAGACCTCCGCATTTAACCTATCCGTGCAGTAAAACATCACATACACACACAGCTCAGCCAAGGGGATAGAACCGGCGACCTTCCGGTCACAAGGCTGGTTCCCTAACCTCCAGCCCACGACTGCCCCCAATCTGAATGCATTACACAATGTTAAACAATAAACAATGTATACCTACACATTCAGCTACCCAGTAGAAATAGAAAAAAACAGATACATTTATTCTCTATATGTGAATAGACCGCAACTCAATTGCACAGACTGCTTCCATTGCAGAGCTATCCCTTGCCACACCAGAGACATATCACCAGCTCTGTGATAAACCTCTTTTTTAGTTCCACCATGTAATTTTGTGTTAATTTAATAATGCTATGAACTGAATGTTTCACATATACAGAATAAATGTATCTATGTTTTTTTCTATTTCTACTGGGTAGCTGAATGTGTAGGTATACATTGTTTACTGTTTAACATTGTGTAATGCTTTCAGATTATAGCATTAAAGTATCTAGTACTTTACTAATACAGGACTACTCTTTCATTTTATATCAGGTACATTCAACTCACAGAACACAACCTTATTAATGTTTAGTGAAGTTTAATAGATGTTTGTAATGCATTACTAAGGCATTATTGGTTTCACTTTACATCAGGTATATTACATTCACTGAACAAGACCTTTTAAACCTTTAGTAATGTTTAGTAGATGTTTGTAATGCATTACTAAGGCATTATTGGTTTTGACTACATCAGGTATATTAAATTCACTGAACAAGACCTTTTAAACCTTTAGTAATGTTTAATAGATGTTTGTAATGCATTTTAAGACATTATTGGTTTTCACTTTACATCAGGTATATTACATTCACTGAACAAGACCTTTTAAACCTTTAGTAATGTTTAATAGATGTTTGTAATGCATTACTAAGGCATTATTGGTTTTCACTACATCAGGTATATTAAATTCACTGAACAAGACCTTTTAAACCTTTAGTAATGTTTAATAGATGTTTGTAATGCATTTTAAGACATTATTGGTTTTCACTTTACATCAGGTATATTAAATTCACTGAACAAGACCTTTTAAACCTTTAATAATGTTTAATAGATGTTTGTAATGCATTACTAAGGCATTATTGGTTTTCACTACATCAGGTGTATTAAATTCACTGAACAACACCTTATAAACCTTTAATGCTTAATAGATGTTTGTAACGCATTTTAAGACATTATTGGTTTTAAGATAAAGCATGTTATGCTCTCTGAGTAGTTTCCTTTGATTAAAAAAATGTCTGTTTATATGATCATGTTTATATTTACAATTTCTAAATGTATGATGACTTCCCAAAAATGTCCCATTCACACTCACACATGCATGATAAAATTTGGAATAAGGAAAAGAAATGGAGTAGATAAGTAAATAATTTCAGTATGCTGCCCCATCCAGGCCTGACTGATATGACTGAGAGAATGGTATGGATAATTCCTTCTTGCAATACACACAGAAGCATATCTAACATACATCAGAATGTAGCATATTAATGTAAGCTTTTATATATAAAATAATATATTACCTTGCGCTCATTTATATTCATTACGTATGTATGTAAATGCTTTTTATTTTTACATTTTGCATCTAAAATAAAATATTAAAGCTCCAAAGTGAGAGGTGTGAGCAACAAAGAAGCAAAACAGGAGCTGAACCACCTCAACAAGATGACACAATGAAACCCCAACAAGCAACTAAACCTTAATGACTGAAATGGAACTGAGGGAAAAGCAGTAGGGAGAAGTAAAGGTGTTATCATTTAAAAATACAGTACAAAACACTACATCAGTAAATGGAAGTAAGTAAATAAAAATAGTTAGTAGCTGCCATTGGTAAAGTGTCATTTCAGCCAATTAAACTATTACTTTACATTGCTTTTTCAAGCATTATGTCTAACTGCAGTACATAAGCAAAACACTAGAACATAAACTAATGAAGTTGTAACGTTTAATTAACATTAGTTAACCATTATCAATGTAGAACCTTAGTTGTTAATAAATGCATTACTTAATGTTAATGAGTCAACACTTCACATGAAAACAACATTAACTAATGTAGTTGTAACATGTTTACTTAACATTAGGTAACCATTGTTAATGCATTATGTCATGTTTTGTTCATGTTAACTAATGCATTACTTCATGTCTTGTTCATGTTAACTAATGCATTACTTCATGTTAGTTAGTCAACACTTAATGTAAAGTGTTACCCAGTTCTGAAACAGCAACTTACAGAAAGATGAGACAAAGAACAACTTGTATAAGACTGATGGGATGAGAGGAGTATGGAGAAAAGAAGGAACTGCTCTTGATCCAAAGCATGTTAAATGCAAATTCATTCTTGTAAAAGGTGGTGTTAACTGAATGTGTACGTGCTACAACCAAGTTCTGCAATTAAAGGTTTAAAACATTTTGATGTAAAATATGTTTCCAGTAGGACCTATGCCAAGGTCACATGGTCTCCCATCTGCAGCACATGGAGAGACAGCACACAGACTGTTCTGCATGTCTAGCTCCAGCTCCACCCAGGCTTCCCCCTCTAGGGACTCAGAACATGAACTTTACTATTTTGTGTTTGCTGACTTCACCTCCAGCTCCAACTCCACCCAGGCTCTACCCACGGATAACCAAACACAGCTGCAGCTCATTCCTCGAGTTAACAGCTCACACATACATAGGCCTCTTGTTGTACCTGCAAAGTCTCTGTTGGCCTAACTGAATTCTGAGACATATTTCCACTTGTCTATATGAGGACCATGCTTGGCAGTCATTCAGTTTACCTATGATTATATTTTTATACCATTGGGGGACTATATATGCACATGGTTAGGAGTAGTTCTCAATGTATGCCCATTATCATGCACAAAAAATTACATTGTAAGCATAAGAATGTGTATGTGCATGACTGATAAAGAGACCCTCGGACAGTAGACGTTTCTCCTTCACACAACACAATTATTAGTGTGTAAGGCAGTAAAATCCTCCTCTGAACTGTATGATGGCTGCCACTACAGTTAATGAACTACTGCTAATACAGCACTGTTAAACACCTCAGTGTGCTGACCAACTCTGAATAATATACTACAGTTAATGATCTACTGCTAATACAGCACTGTTAATCACCACAGTGCGCTGACGGACTCTGACTAATGCTCTACAGTTAATGAACTACTGCTAATACAGCACTGTTAAACACCTCAGTGTGCTGACCGACTCTGACTAATGAACTACAGTTAATGAACTACTGCTAATACAGCACTGTTAAACACCTCAGTGTGCTGACCAACTCTGACTAATGTACAACAGTTAATGTACTACTGCTAATACAGTGCTGTTAAACACCTCAGTGTGCTGACCAACTCTGACTAATGCTCTACAGTTAATGAACTACTGCTAATACAGCACCGTTACACACCTCAGTGTGCTGACCAACTCTGACTAATGTACAACAGTTAATGTACTACTGCTAATACAGTGCTGTTAAACACCTCAGTGTGCTGACCAACTCTGACTAATGCTCTACAGTTAACGTACTACTGCTAATACAGCGCTGTTAAACACCTCAGTGTGCTGATCGACTCTGACTAATGTACTACAGTTAATGAACTACTGCTAATACAGCACTGTTAATCACCACAGTGCGCTGACCGACTCTGACTAATGAACTACAGTTAATGTACTACTGCTAATACAGCACTGTTAAACACCTCAGTGTGCTGACCGACTCTGACTAATGCACTACAGTTAATGATCTACTGCTAATACAGCGCTGTTAAACACCTCAGTGTGCTGATCAACTCTGACTAATGTACTACAGTTAATGAACTACTGCTAATACAGCGCTGTTAAACACCTCAGTGTGCAGATCAACTCTGACTAATGTACTACAGTTAATGAACTACTGCTAATACAGCGCTGTTAAACAACTCAGTGTGCTGACTGACTCTGACTAACATACTACAGTTAAAGGACAACTCCTATTTTACACAGATTAGACTCACATCTGCTCTGTAGTTCACTTAATACTGAATTTGCAGCTAAGAATGAATACAAACCACTTTTGGCCTGAATGCTGGTTCTCCAGTTCTAAGCAGTGAGTTTCTCAGGTGTTCTATGAAAGACTGATGTGATTATATTATAGAACTGCATTGTGAGTCCTGGACACCAGTGAATGAAGTACAGTGTCTTATTTCTGCTAATGGATCTTACCTGTGACTGAAAGATCAACTCCACCTTCTCCTTGATACTTTCCTCCAGGTTGGTCTGTTATAAATGTGAAGTAGTATTTACTTTGATCCTTTTCTCTCACAGTCTTAAATCTGAGAGTGCAGTCACTGTGTTCATCTCCGAGGTACTGAACTCTGCCTCTGTACTCTGGATCATCTAACAGATCAGGAGGTTCTGAACCAGATGTAACCAGCTCCTTAGTCCAGAAAGCTTTTTGGACTGAGTGATTACTTGGAGCTGTGTAAGTGCACTCCATGGTCACTGCAGACCCCTTTAGAGCACAGAAAGATTTAGAGTTGTAACTCACACCCCACCCATCCTGAGCAACAACTCCTGAAACACAAAATACAGAAATGTGTAAATTATTACTGTTTGGGTCTCAGTCAGTAAAAATGTTGCATAAAGTCTCCAATTCAGCTCATTTCTAAGACTGTTAGAATGAAGATTGGAACAAAAAACTTAAATAAGCTGAGGTGATCTGGAAATAAAAGAGTGGGCTATGGGGGGCTGCGGAATGAATGAGACGTAATACCATGAGCAAAAACATATTCTTACAACTTTGCAGAGACATAACAGCTCTGACTCACCTGAGATGAAGAGCAGAAACAGCAGGGAAACAGTCAGAGACATTCTGAGTGAGATCAGCAGTTCAGCCTGTGTGATCATAAAAGCAAATATGACATAGTCATAAAGGCTGTGTCAGCGTTATCAATACCCTTAAGCTGCCCAACCATTTTCATAGTGTAGACAAAAAGTGCTGAGCTGAAACATACTTCACTTTCCATTTGAGTCTTGTTATGTATCAGGCTTCCATCCTGAAATTTCATGTGATATGAAAAAAGAGAAAGCCTAATGATTTCTGTGAAATAATATTAAACATATCTGCACAATCTTATTTTTTTTTTTAATAATCAAACTTGTTATATTTAAAACATACACATTTTATAGAAATACTCTTATTTTATTGTTTGTTCGAGTTGGAAACAAAAGAGTTCATTTTTTTTCCTTCTGTGGTGTCTTGGTACAAACCCAGCTTCAAAAAGGTTGGGACAGTATGCAATATGTCAATAAAAACAAAAGCAGTTATTAGTAAATTGTATTTGACCTGCATTAAACTGAAAACAAACAAAAGCACAGTATTTGAATGAGTTTTATGACAAATATGGTGCCTGCAACACGTTCCAAAACATGTTTATCACTGTATAACAAGTCTTCAACTGCACTCTCCGATTATACATTATATGTATAATTATATGTTTCGATGTGCAGAATGTTTCTTGTCATTGTCATGTTGAAAAAAGAACAGGCGTTCCTGAAATGCTGTGTTCATAGATACTTTCTTTCTGTAAAACTGATTTCAGCACAGATTCTTTTTTATTGCACATGCCTGCAAAGGACCACGGGAAATTCAGTGACTTGGAAATGTTCCTGTAGCCATTCCCTGACTTGCACTGTTCTTTTCTCTTCATGGTGTATTTTAGGCCATGAAATAAAGGTTGAACCTTCCATGTACAGGTGTATTTATACTACAATCACCGGGAACCTCTAGACTGCACACAGTTCATCTCCTTTTAACAAATTATGTGACTTTTAACACCAACCGGCTGCAACAGTGATGATTTAGGAGAGCCATATTAAAGGAGGTGAATACTTTGTGTTTTATATTTGTAATGATTTTAATTCACTTTGCAGAGATCTGTTTTCTCTCTGACATGAAAGTGTTTCTAATGCTATATGATAGTGAAACACAACAGCTTCCAAGGGGAGAAACTTTTTATAGGCACACAATTTGTTGAACTGCACTCTTATAAAAGAGAGTTTTTCAAGGGTTCCTTAGTAAAGAAAATGGTTCTATATAGAACCATCTATGAACACTGAACACTCAAAGAACCCTGTGCATGTTTAAAGGGTTCCTTGCATTGTGGAAGGGTTCTTCAGATTGATGGATGTTACCACCCCCAGTCGTCGTTACTTTCTGTGGTCATTTTCTGTGTTTTCACTTCTGTTTTTCTATGATGTGCAGGTCTGTGATTGGCCACATGGGGGCGCACTAAGGTATACAAGGTCGTCGAGCCACCATCTTGGGATACATTCAGGACTCTTTCCAGACCAGACCAGCACTCTTTGCAACACTCTTCACTTTGCTCTGTTTGTAAAGTCAATAAAAGTTTTAAGATTCTGTGCAACTTTCTGTGAATATTGGAAAAGCAGGGCATGTGTGCCACTTCGTTTTGGTTACTTTGTCTCCTGTTTAAGGTAGGGAGGTAGCCATATGTCTTTGTTTCTTTTGTTTTCAGGTTTAGTTAGATTTGCAATCGTTAGTCGTTTTGTTTATTTTGGTATACGCTCGTCCCTGAAGCCATCAACCCAACTTATGTTTGATCATTTGAAATAAATAAACCTGCCATTTTCTGACTTCCATGGTGTCCGGTGTCTGGACTGGCAGCAGGTCTGAGGAGAGAGCCCAATCTCATTCTCTGTTATGGCCTGACCCTAGACCAGGTCATAACAATGGAGAATGTGCTGTAGATGGTTCTATATAGAACCTTTTGTAAAATGGTTCTATACAGAACCAAAATCTGTTCTGCTATTGTTACGATACAAGCTTTTAACACCTTTTGGTGCTAAATAGAACCCTTTTAAAATGGTTCTATATACAACCAAACCCAAGACATTGTCCATCAGTCTAAAGAACTGTTTCTTGATCCAAAGAACCCTTTAATCATGCCGAGGGTTGTTTGAGTGTTCAGAGTTCTACACAGAAACACTTTTTTTATTAAAGAGCCCTTTTGCAAATGGACAAGAAGCATCAACATGACTTCAGTGCACAAAGGCATTTAAAACATTTTAAAAACATGCCAAAAATTTCTCCCTGTTCTGGTCCTCCCTACATCCCCCCGCCCTGTTCTGGTCCTCTTTTCACTCCCCCTCCCTGTTCTGGTCCTCCCTTCACTCCCCCTCCTTGTTCTGGTCCTCTTTTCACTCCTTCTCCCTGTTCTAATCCTCCTTTCACTCCTAAAAAAAAGCATGATAAAGTGATTGGGAATCACCCCAGACCAACTACCCATGACTCTGAGACTTTTTCGAGTTTAAAAGTTCTCCTCATCAACATCTACAGCCAGGAAACAGGAGAACGAGCTAAAGCACGTACCCAGCAACATACAGGTTCAGGTTTACGTTTTTTCCCACTTTCCAGCTTTCAAAACCTGGTAGAGCCGCTAAAAGTAAATTGAGACCCAGTGAAAGCATTGTTAGCTTGGCACCAGAATGACTACGAAATACGTGAAAAGATATGTAAACATTTTAGATAAAGTCCACGAGGAGACGGTTAACTTCTTGTTTGAATTTTCTGTTCCGCCTTAAATGGTGCTGGTTCTAAGAGTCTACAGGAAACTAGTTCTAATGGTCACCATTAAGCCAATTCTCAATAGAAAGCAAAACCATCAGGTTAATCCTAATGGTTCTAAGGGTCTTTTTTTCAGCAGGGTATGTATCCCAGTTGCTGTTTGTTTCTTGTTCTGGGGTGGACACTTAACAAACACCTCATGTTTAAGGAAAAGACCCTGTTGGGGGTTGAATAGTCAGGAACCTCTGCTCAACTAAAACAGCAATAAGAGTATTTTCCTACCTTCATTAAGCGACGTTCATCTCCTGAATCAAAATAACGACCGCAGAGAACATGAGGAGGTTAAAGTGTGTTGCTGAGTTCTTCAAACGCTCTTCTCTTTCTGTTCCCCTGGCTCCGCTCCCCTCCCCATCCTTAATTCCTTCTACTGAGCACAAAACATACAGTAGTTCTTACTGGTTCAGCTGGAAAATTGTATTCCTTTGAAGAGCTACTCTATGTTTAAGAATATTAAATGGACTTGAGTGACATTGTGAAATTTCCCCCATTTAATCAGTTACTTGCATTTAACGTAATGTGGGCAGTAATTACATTTTCTAAACTAGAAATTCAGTTTCTGTTTACAGAATAAAAAAAGTAAATGAGTCACAGGGGACTGGACTGAATGATACTCAGTGTAAAAACACTTCATGAGCAGTATTTGGAAAGAGTGATGTTATTTAGCTCAGCACTGCCATTTCCTGAGCCTAGAGTTCAGAATCAGACAAATACAATATGAGGAGGGAGAAGAGAGCATTTCTAAATAAGCACTGACTGTAGCAGAGCTGCAGCGCAGCATGTTTTCAAGCAGAAATCAGATACACAAGGTAAATATACCAAGTTATTACCAAGTTACAACTATTTGTAACTTGGTAATAATGCTTTATAAGCATACTTATAAACTGCAGTAATGCGTCATAAGGCATTTATAATGAAATCTAATTAATTATTTTATAACCTATAAACAGGTAGTTACACAAGTGTCACTATTCATTATAATGGCTTTTAAATGGATCATGACCCGTGCATAATTATACAGTAATTATAATACATAATAACAATTATAACCACATTATATATGCTTACAATGCCAACATTGAGTGCCTCAAGTAAAGTGATTGATATTTTATGTTATTCTTTATTATAAATAAATGATAAGGTACTATAAACATAATTTTTGTAAAATGAGGTGAAACATTTAATTTCCAACTAATTATAAAAAACACAGACACATCACTGATATTTAAAAACTTTAATTTCTTTATTTCTCAAATTTATAAAAAAGAGAATAAGAGATTGTTCTTCTACAGACATTTATCTTTTTTGTGACTGTTAGTCACTGTTACTGTTTACCAGAACACCCTTTATGATTTAACCAGTCTTTACTAAGATACCTTGAGCCTTTCTGTTAACCTAAGCTGATCAGGGAATAATTTGGCCCAACACACAGCCAGTGGAAATGTTTTTTGATCATAATCACTGATCATTCTCTAGCATTCAAAGAGCAACTGATATTTGCTTCAGGACTGTATCATTATCATTGGTTTTCTTTCAATTTGCATGTATTCTCAATGTGTCAGTGTACGCACTGATATTTCCCAAATGTGTAAAGTTTGCAATAAGTGTATGCAGTTCATACCAGACAGACTACTGATACATACTTTTCTCATGTCTGATGCCATTTTTGAGAGGTTTCTGCTGCTGGCAGCAACACCATCATCTGTAAGGTCAATCTGTCACATTCGAAGACCTTGAGAATTGAAATTGAAAGAAATTGAAAGAAAACCAATGATAATTTGTTCAGCTGTTAACAGTCCGTGCTAAAAAATCCAATCCAAGACCAATATTTGTTGGTAACTGGTTTCAGATTGTCTAAGTTGGTCTTTGATGGTCAATAGCTAGATTCCTGCTGGTCTAATATGATCAAGGTGGTTGACTGGCTGGATTTCCAGCTGTGCTAGACAAAAACATACCCTATCCTGGTCTACTGGTTAAACTGGTAGTCCAACTTGGTTAAACTGGTCATGTTGGTACAGCAGCTAAACCATCAAACCCAAATGAAAACATGCTCTATGCTGGTAAATCAGCTAAGCCGGTGTGTCGGCTTAACCAGTTTAACTATCTTGAGCCAAGTTAATTTTATCAGGAGGATATCATAAAATTAAGTTGTCTTAGCAAAATTTGCGCAAACTGTAAAAACTACACCTATAGATGATTTTGGAGACTTCTATGTGACCTATAAAAATTGGTTCTTTTGCGAACAGACACGGTTTTGCCTCGGAAACAATGTCCTTTACACATCCTGTTGGGGCATGTAAGATTAATATATTTCGGACTATAATATCGGACTGTGAATGAGTATGAAATACCAAATTATGAAGGTCTGCTTGTCGGCAAGTCTAACTTTACTGTCTGTGTAGCACGAGGCCGTGTTCAGTTAAAAAATCTATCACCCCTTACTGGACTGGCATGGTCGTGTGAGCGTTTGTAATCGTTTTTGCGTTCTTAGCAATGAGGAGCTAAAGATCTGCGAAAAACGCTGTTGTTCTGGACGAGGATTTTTTGAAAACAAAGAAAAAATAGGTTTTTAAAATATCTGGATATGTATGTACGAGGTCAAAGAAACAATCAAACAGGACAGCGCTGACACACAATGTACAATCAAATAAACAAACAAAAAATATAAACCTTTCCCTAGCATTCCAAATATTTTCTCATTAAAAAAGTAGCATGTAACATAGAAATACACAAAACCTACAAGTCAGAACAATATTAATAGAAAAAATGCCTTTTATTTATAGGAAAGAATTAGTAAATTAATTAAAATAAATAAATAAATAAATAATAATACATGCACACATACAGACATATGTTTGTGTTATACTTACCACTGATATCCATTATGTCGAGCAGTTTCCATCAGGTGCATCTCCTGGTTACATCTGCAACGTTTTCGACATTCAAAAGGCCTCTTTTTTGCATCCAGAGAACAACATCTCTTTTATGATCCAGGGTGTTTTCTGCACGGAGCAGACTGGTAAGTCCTTTAATAAGTGCCACTGCATTTTTTTAAATCACTTCCTGTTTTTTAGGCTAGGTGAACCAGCATTAACAATAGTCTAGATGTCTAAAGGTAAATCATATAAATGAAGCTTTTATGTATTATTTAAAAATACCTAAGTTTAAGATATACCTGACTTTCATGCTTAGCCTTCAGTAGCCTATAACGTTACTCTACTCGAGAGTTACCGTCGGTTTTCTGTGACTAACGTTAGCTTAAAAATGTAGTGTAATAACCAGCTAGCTAATCTGTTTAGCTGTTTTGTTTTTGTTAGCCAAAAATGAATTGACTGAAAATCCAAACGCTGAGAACAACCAGTATTTGTATTGTTTCTACAGTCCAGTAGACAAAAAGCCCCTGGCTCTGTCACCACATTTCAGTCTCAAAACGTAGGTAGGTTGTAATTTTAGACGTTATCTTATGTTCTTGTTTATTTGTTTTTAATATTAATCTGCAATCCTTCATCTTTATGCTCCAGACTTCTCCATAATGGTTGGGCATAGTGCTTAAATCTGCTTGGTAATCTATATACTGGCAGATAATAATAGTGTTATCATGGCAGGTGTACTTACTCCACAAAACTGCCACTGATCATTCTGGTCATTCAAAACTCTCAACGTCTCAGTTAAAGTTAAGTAAGTTAAGTAAAAGGTCATAAACATTAATTTATGCATGCAGCTTTTATTTTTATTTTTTGAAATGAAATTGAAATGAAATTGAGCTGCTGAAATTGCAGCTAGAGGCTAAGAAGGATAAAGGGAACCTCAGAGAAGAAAATATAAAAATACTCAAACAAGACAGAGAGCATCTCCAGTCACAACTGTCAAAGAAAGAAGAATTTATTCAGGAGCGGATTCACTCAAAAATGGAAGAGATTCTTGGTCCAGGTGACCTTGGTAAGTTATTAGGAAGTTCAGATGTAACCAACATTATTTCCAGTTTCACATTTGTAATGTGTCCCTGCATCCAAGACTTTGGCCCAATCCCATTTCTTCTTTTTACCCCTACCCCTTGTTTTCGAGTGTCACCCTAACCCCTTGGAATGGAGTTACAAAGGGTAGTGGTAAAAACTTGCCCTATGAAATGGGACCCTCAAAACATTGCTTCATTAACAGCTACTAGCGCTGCTCTGTAGGCGACCTGGCTCGTCTTCAGTGACAGCAGAGAAGGGAAAAGTTCAGCAACCTCACTGCTGGGCGTTAGTCACATTTAGGGCATCATATGTAAGAGGGGGTACAAGACAATTATTTATTATTTCCCACTGCTAATTCATTGGTGATACGAAGCTGAACTCAGCTATTCTTGTTTGAATATTCCCGTTCCATCTTAAATGGTGCAACAGTTACATTCTGATGCTTCAGACATCAGAACTGCTGGACTATTTAAGGTGGAACGGGAAAATTAGCTAACTAGCTACCTAGACATTAGCATACTTTTAGCGAAGAAAACAACCATAATACATTGAAATGACATTAAACTAAGATAATACAGTGGTTATTGTAATTTTCAACAGAGAAAATTCTCACATTTGTGGGTTTCTTTGGTCGCTCGTACAGCCCTCTCACCGGCTTTTCTTTTTTTCTGATAACACTCTGTTTGGAGGGCCATGCAGCCCTAACACTTCGCCCTACCCCTGTATCTCAACAAAAATTGGGACACCCTACCCCTAGACGTGAACACACTAAACAGAGGGCTAAGGGCTCAGTGGTAGGGGTGAGGTGTGAAATGGGATTGGGCCTCAGACTAAGTACAGTCATGACATGGATAACGTTACTCATTAGGCAGACATTTTACAATTACTAATAATGTAACTATAATAATTATGTATAGGGCTGCAACAATTATGCAATTAAAAACATTCTTGATTGTCAAAGACTAATTTGGATGACGATAATAAAAACTTATAATGTTTATAGTTATAAAGCTCCATTTATCAGTCTGATTATGCTCCACAAGAGGGGCTATTAGCCCTATTTTTAAACCCTATTACAAATGCATGTATGATTTAAATTAAAATGTATGTATATGAACTAAGAGTAAATATTTGCAGTAAAAATATAAATTAATATGAAGTTAAAGTTAAAGTTAAAGGTTTTGTTTAACTATGTCTCAGCTGAACAGCTGTGCAGACAGAACTCTAGAGTAATGTTAAGAGTAAGGTTTTAAGAGTTTTAAAGAGAGTTTTAATCTGAGAGTCAAATTTCTAAAAACTCTAAACATAAAAAGAAAAATATTGCTTATTACACCGTTAAAATGCTAAACCTAGTTTGAGAAGTGAACATAATCTGTCGTTAGCTAATACCATGCTAACACTGAAAATCTCATCAAAATTAGCTTTATGGTAGCTGTGGTACTCTGGCCTATATAGTAAAGATTTCTGTATTAATCACTGCTGCACAATGAAAAGTGTGGCAAGTGACTGACAACTGGCTAATTCATGAAGTGAGTAGCATTCAAAGTAGCATTCCAGACTTCTCTAAATGGCATTAAAATGTAAATGCAAATGGCTTAAAGGCTTTGAATTAAATTTGTTCTTCCTTGCAGATACCATGATAATGCATATTTTAAATTCTCCTACTGCTCTCTTACAGTAAGAAGCAGAGCCTCATGGGCACATTAGTTTTCATTTTTTGCCACATACTGTATATAGTATTAGAGGTATTGGGATTTTTTAAATATTTATAGTTTTTTCAAGATTTTTTCCAGTTTTTTAAAGGGTCATGGTATTTTCTTGTTTACTTTAATCAGTTTCTGTGGTTTGGTTTTGTTTGCTGCTAGTCTAAAGTCTTTATATGGTTGCTTTGTTTCTTTTTCCTAGTATTTCATAATCTTCGAAAGGCTTTGTTTGTTTTGTTATTGTTCAGTTGAGTTATTGTTAATGTGATGTACTTAAAAAAAGATTACTCAATTAATCTGCAGAATAATCAAAGTATTAGCCAGAAGTTATTGATTGATATTGTTTAATAACAGAAGTCAACATGATGTATTTTTTTTTTTTGACTGATTTTACCTTTACAGAAACGAAAGTGAAAGCCCACCCAAAGCATCAGATGTCTGAAAAGCCAGAGGAGTCTGATGGAGACTGTCTTCCTCTGTTTTGTCTGACTCATCTGTGAAGGTGACAAAGAAAAAACGCAAAATGCCAGCACACAAGAGAGATTTGAAGCACAAGAGAGACTCCTGAGACCCCTGAGCCCAAACCTGTTTTGCGCTTTTATCAAAAATTACATTTTTTTTTCTCTAGTTAAAAATACAAGGTGCATTGTTGCAAGATATAAGCTGGCTCTGGAAGCTTTCAAGAAAGGCAGCTCTATGATGGCAGCTTTTGACAGCGTTGGACTGGACAGAGCCCCACTGCCCGCACAGCTGTTGTTGCAGAGCTGAAAACAGCTGCACCAGAGCTCTTTGATAGCTTTGCACCATGGAATTAGAGAGCTGAGAAACGTTCTGCTTTTGTGGAAAGGAGCCGTGGAGCAGTAACCAGTGATGTAAAGGAAAAGCTTTGTCAAATGAAAATAGATGGAGTACGGAGCCTAGGAGGGGACGGAAGTAAAAAAAAAATAATAATAATTTGAGTGAACGTTTTGCAGTTCGTACGCACGTTTTCTTTTATTCGTGGGTACGTTTTTTTAAATTTGTGATCACGATTTTCTAATTCTATTCTATTTTATTTTAACTTTTTGATAACAGCTCCCTGAGACTGTCTGACGGGTTTTGATGTGTTAGATTGAGGAGATAATGTGCAGAGATGCCCAATAGGTTTGATTTTGATTTGGGGGGTTATGAGGAAACTGCAGCTCCTCTTCACCGCAAACAGGTGTTTAAGCTGTTAGTTACTTCTGCAAAGGACAAATAACACGACCTGTATCTACTACATTGATTTTGCGCACGATTAAAAAAAAATAATGTGTTCTGTTAAAAATGAAACATGATGATTAAAAGAAAATGAGAGAATGAAAATCATGATCACGAATAAAAGAAAACGTGCATACAAACTGCAAAATGTTCACTCAAATTAATTATTTTTTTCCTCCGTCCCCTCTGGGGCTCCGTAATGGAGAGTGGTTGCCAATTGCAAATACTTTTTGAAAGTTGCTTTTACTTTTTGTGTTTGTTTTTATGTACATGTTTTGTAATTATTTTGCATTTAAGTGTTCAAATTATAAATATTATAATTTAATTAATTCAATTTAATTAGGTGATTACAGTGCATTTATAATGAGAAATAAAATATAATATACATCACTTTACTTGAAGCACTCAGTGATGGTGTTGGAAACATTTATAATGTGGTTATAATTGTTATTATGTATTATAAGTGCTGTATAATTATGCACTGGTCATAATCCATTTAAAAGGCATTATAATGAATAATGACACTTGTGTTAGTATGTTTATAAGTTACAAAATAATTAATTCTAGTTCATTATAAGAGCCTTATGAGGCACTATTGGAGTTTTTAAGTATGCTTATAAAGCATTATAACGAAGTTACAGAGTTATAACCGCATTTATAATGACTTATACATACGGGCTTCATAGAAAGTGTTACCATCACTTTTCTGTAATATGGGCAGTAATTACATTTTCCAAGACAAACACGTCAGTTTTAGTTCTGTTTACCAAATAAAAATATGTGAATGATTCACAGTGAACTGGACAGAATGAGACTGTGATGAACGTTTAAAAGTAAAAACACTAAAAGGGCCATAATATTTAGTTCATATTCTGTTCTGTTCTGATTGGCCTGTGGTGATGATGTTGGAGTATTTTTGTCATCTGTTGGTTTGTGCTGCCATCTAGAGGAATGTAGCTGTAATTACATGCACACTGTACTGTAAGGCCCATCCCTGACTGACTGATATCTGGAGTTCTGTATCAGCTCACCTGACACTTCATCTATCTTTCTCTTCTGCTCACTCATATTTCAGTTATTTATTAACAGCACTGTTGCTATCTCCCTAACAAATGTATTATTAGATTTTTTTGTCTTCTTGGATCAATTACTAACAAAGGATCCTGCAGTCAATGAATATGACACAAAAAGGCACTCAGGAGAACAAAGATAAAGGAACTTCTAATGAACTTCTAATGAAATCTTGTGTCTCTATAAACAGTGATCAGAACTGTCCAGGCTGTGGTCTGTTCTGGGTTCCATTATAAATGTGAAAGCTGTACAAAAATAAAATATCGATGCCTTAAACCCAATAAACTGGATTGAACAGTGTAGAAGACCACATTACCAATTAAACCCATCAAATATCACACAGAACAAATGTTTTAGCTTCAAAGCCTACCTGACTAATTAGCAAGTCTGGCTAAAAAAGACAGTGTTTTTTGTTAACGTATTATATTTAATAGACTATCATGGTTTAGACCTTTGATGTGAGCACAAAGTCCCAGAGAGCTCAGGACCTAAACCGAGAATAATATGGTCTATCACTGTTTGACAAATAGATTTTCTAATACAGCAGGTATTTAATTAGACTTAATTAGGCCATGCACACTAATTGTTGTCCATATAAAGCCTATAATCATATATTTACCTAACCTGAAGAACCTTTGTTTATTGTTTCATCATTTGTTTATTGTGATCTGTAGGCTGTATCGTTGTTTGTTATTATTTTAGCACTATTAGGCTGATGAGAGATCATTGTGTTATGTACCTTGTACAGTGATATGCAAAAAGCCTGGCCAAATTACATATTTTGTTAATTTAAGTGAAAAGAAGTAAACACAACATCAGCAAACTGTTTAAAAAACACTAAATATGTTAACACAACTATTTTTATTTGATGCAAATTAAAAGCATAGTAACTGAGGCACATACAGAAGTGCAAAAGGTTTTGAAAAAAATCACACTTAGGCATTGATTTTACTATTTATACTCAGAAAAAAAAATGTTTAAACACCTAAAATGTCATTTCTATTATTAAAAGCAGTCATTTAATCAAGTAGGTACAGACTTTTGACTGGGACTGGATATTGCATAATCAAGAGAAGTGAATATTCACTTATTCTTATTTTGATATTTACACTGAGCCCTGCATAGCAGCCCTATTGGAACAAAACCTTGTGTTTCTAATTTTTATATTTTTTATTCATTTGCTTATTTTTGATATAATTTTAAAATTTCAACTGTTTGAATTTTATTATGAAAGGACCAAAATTAATTATAAAAAAAAATAGAATAAAGGCTCAACATTAATTTATGTTACAGTCAAATGTTGTTTTCTTCTCGTGTAAAGTTACTGTTCTGAAGGTTTTGGTCCAACAGTGACAATATAAGGGGAAACACGCAGGGAGCATGCTGAGGTGTTCAATATGTAACATTATAAAAATATACATACAGCATATGTAACAAGATCTTTCAAAAACAACAGCATTATAAGTCCATAATTAAGTGCAACATGTAAGTACAAAAGAAACATGGATCCAGTTGAGCACAGGCCCACCTCACAGTTGATTTAACAGATAAAAAATATTAAAATCAATCATTTTAAAAGTGGAAATTTCATTTCTTCAGGTGGGAATTCACTCTTTCCTAAATCTATTCATTAAAAAAGCAATCCCAAAACTTCAGAAGCTTCTCAGACAACCTGCATTTACATAAACAATAAAATATAAAATATAACACACTGAGCTTTAACTGGGGCTGTTCAAACAGGAGTTCTTTGCTGGTTCAGTGGCTGAATTGAGGCTAAATCTTTTAAACATTTTACTTCATGTTGTAGTATGAAGTATGAGTAACATTACCAGCTGAGGAGTGCTGTTGCTTAGCAACAAAACTCCTGAAATAACAACACTAAAGGACAAAATGTCAGTCCTTCAGTCCAAAGTCAAATGCTGCCACTGCTAAGCTCTAAGCATTCCTACAATTTTTTACTCTCTGGGTATAACACTGGCATAATGAACATCATCCTGATTGGACGGATCTGGATCAGGTGTTCTATCACTCACCATCAGTCAAAACACCCATGGGCCTATGTCTGAGGGCGGTCTAAAATGGAAAAAAAGATAATAATAATTACATATTATATATATTATTTACAATAAATACATATTCAGATGGCAAATCAGCAACATTTTTTTACAAAGTCCAGTGTGGTTAGTTTAAGTACCACTATATACAAAATGATATGTTTGTATTTATTTATTTGTAGCGAAGCATGTATACACTGAACAAATAATAATCTAAATGAATATGCAGCAAAGCTCAGTCATCATTGTGAAAGCAGTGGACAATTCCTGTTTTAAGACAATGTAGAGTTACAAAGGGTTTGTATCTCTCTGTCAAATAGATCTGGATACATGGTTTATGATACAATACAATAACATTATACTATTTCAAATGCCCTCAAATGACCTAACATGCTGCCCCATATGTGAAAATATGAATAAACTGTCCCTGAGCAGCTTTAACAACAGCAAAAATGTTAGGGCCAGATCACTGGGTTGAAGCAGTTACAATGCGACAAGGCTTGTGGGGCACTCTCAGTCCGCAGTGGTGAGTACTGACAGTGGTCCGAGAGAGGACAAAACACTAATGGGCAACAGAGTGTTGGGAACCCAAGGCTCATCGATGCGTGAGGGCAACGAAGGGATGGGTTAGAACCAGGGATGTGGGAATAGCTAAGTAGCACACTACTAAATTTTAGCTAACTCTACATTTTTGTAGCTATTAGCTGTAGCTGCTACAGTTTTATGAAATGTAGCTAGTAGCTGTAGCACCTACAATTCTTTGTGTAGCTATAGTGATGATTTTCGCTACAATTTCACTACAGGCTTCAGTCAAACCACGCAAAATCTGAACCATAGAACGCGGTCGGTAACTGGGTTGGAGGCGACTGTGCAAACCTGACTGAGCCGTGGACAGTTTGAGCAAACGGTCACTCGCTGATCACCTCTTACTAGCAGGCTTAGCTCAGGGGTCGCAACCGAAATGTAAAGAAGAGCCATTTTGTCCTTTCAACAAAAATGAAACCACCTTGGGAGCCACAACACTTAATCATCTTGGCTGTAAACATGTCTCTCTATGTGCTGATGTCCTGGTACAGGCTAAAAATATGAACCAAAACACAGACTAACTTTGCTCTGCTTTAACCTTTAGCTTAGCTGTAGCCATTTTTCTTGCACCTCAGTCAGGAAACTTTTCCGCGAGTTTCTTGTAAAATGTCTCTCAGTGTTTGACTTTTTATGAGGCTGAAGTCGCTTCTCATTCGCCAGCTTCTTGTTCAAATTTTCCCGTTCCACCTTAAATGGTGCCTGAGGCGCCAGATTGAACTGCTGCGCCATTTAAGGTGGAACAGAACAGTTCAAACGAGAAGCTGGAGAATGAGAAGCGACTTCAGCTTCGCGAGTCGTTGCAGATTAAATGTATGAGGAAACCAGCTGGAGTGATTATAAATGCAAATAAGTCCATTCATCTCCAAATTATCGATGTTCGTCTTAAATCTTTATCTTTGCCTTTTCGTTATCTGCATTGCTGAATGACCAGCAGTCTGCACGTCAGTCTTCAGCGTTAAAGGTTGGTGAATTAGCAGTTATACATTAACTCCTCCGCGTTTAAGACCATTTATTGTGAAAACTGTGTTTGAACTGTGTGTTGTAACAATTTTACAGCAAAGGAGGATTATATTACTTTACCTAAAAATCTAGTTCTAATGTGGAGCCGCAACAGCTCTGCAGCAGTGGAGAGATTATTCAGGCCTGATTCTCACCCCAAACAGAGCCAGAGTCACTGATGAGACATTTGTTACTGAAGTTTAACAAAAGACTCTGAATGTCATGTCTGCACATTTTGCTGAAATGTTTAAATTGGAGCAGTTTTGTTTCAACAGTTGATGACAATTTACCAAATTGTTTGGTGTGTATCCAGTTATTTTTGTTGATTTTTGAGAAACACCTGGAATGACTGACTTTGCCTTTAGTCTAAATTTTTGTTGGATATCACAACTTTGGTTGTGTAAGTTTGATTGTTGGTTACACTTCAACTCACTTTTTGGTGATCTATTTGTATATTTGCAGCTTTTCAATTATATGTTACTTTCTGGATCATGATTAAATGCAGTGTCTTGTTCACTCTGTCAGTTGGGCTTGTTTGGTGTGTCGGGTGGAGATTCACAAACATTCTGACAATCACGCTTTGAAAGTAGCTAAAAAATAGTGCACTACTTTTCAAAAAGTAGATAAAAAGTAGCCACTACTTCTTCTGGAAAAGTAGCTAAAATTTGGGAAAGTAGCTACAAAATAGCTAACTACTAATTTTTCAGTAGCTATCCCAACCCTGGTTATAACACACATGGCATTGCACCCTGCAGCTTATGGATCTGTGTAGCTGTAGACCAGTCAGTGTGCCCATGCTGAATCTGATCTGTGGTGGCTCCACCTCTCAACTTACAGGACCTAAAAGATCTCCTGCTAATGTCTTGGTGCTAGATACCACAGGGAACTTTCAGACGTCTTATACAGGCCATGCTTCGGCAGGTCAGAGCTGTTTTTTTGCAGCATACGGAGGACCAACATCATAATATTTTGGCTCATGTGTGTATTTGTATGTTTTCTTCTCTATATGTTGAAGTTTCATAACGACTCTTTAGTAAATGTTTGAACTTTTGACATTTTTTCTCAACATTGTTGTCGGAGTCTGTTATCTAGGAGTTGTAGGAGCCTGAAAAATCTTTTAGATCACAGAGAATATATAATGCAGGCTAGTTAAAGTGAGTTTTATCAACATAAATGCGTAAGGATCCATTTTAACACCAGTGTTGGGGGTAACGCAGTATGAAACACAATATTAAAATACTGTAAACACTTTTTCCTGTAATGAAGTACTGTAACCTAATGTACAGTTTAACTGCCTGTGATCATTGCAGTTACTGATTTAATAATAATGACCAAACAAAAAACAATATCATAAAATACTATTGGAATATCAGCACAAATAAAATAGTAATCTTTACATTAAGTATAACATAAACACCAAAAACCAAATATGAAAAAATCAGCAAATGAAAAAATACTTTTGATTTTCAGAAACTGTACATAGTCCTATATAGTAACAATTAAAGGCTAAATCAGTTGAAAGATATAAAACACTTGAATAAAATTGGTTTGTTTTTATTGACTTACCCGGTCTCGGAGGCCGTTGTCTGGTTTTTCTGAAAGAATAATAACATTAATAATAATAATAATGATAATAACGTGAAATGACAGCATTAATATTTTTGCACACTGTACTGTAAGGCCCATCACTGACTGACTGACTGATATCTGGAGTTCTGTATCAGCTCACCTGACTCTTCATCCATCTTTCTCTTCTGCTCACTCATATTTCAGTTATTTATTAACAGCACTGTTGTTATCTCACTAACAAATGTATTATTAGATTTTTTTTTGTCTTCTTGGATCAATTACTAACAAAGGATCCTGCAGTCAATGAATATGACACAAAAAGGCACTCAGGAGAACAAAGATGAAGGAACGTAAAACAATCTTCTAATGAAATCTTGTGTCTCTATAAACAGTGATCAGAACTGTCCAGGCTGTGGTCTGTTCTGGGTTCCATTATAAATGTGAAAGCTGTACAAAAATAAAATATCGATGCCTTAAACCCAATAAACTGGATTGAACAGTGTAGAAGACCACATTACCAATTAAACCCATCAAATATCACACAAACACATGTATCAGCTTCAAAGCCTACCTGACTAATTAGCAATTCTGGCTAATGAAGACTTTGTTTTTGTTAACTTATTGTATTTAATTGTATGATGTGAGCACAAAGTCCCAGAGAGCTCAGGACCTAAACCGAGAATAATATGGTCTATCACTGTTTGACAAATAGATTTTCTAATACAGCAGGTATTTAATTAGACTTAATTAGGCCATGCATACTAATTGTTGTCCATATAAAGCCTATAATCATATATTTACCTAACCTGAAGAACCTTTGTTTATTGTTTCATCATCTGTTTATTGTGATCTGTAGGCTGTATCGTTGTTTGTTTATTATTTTAGCACTATTAGGCTGATGAGAGATCATTGTGTTATGTACCATGTACAGTGATATGCAAAAAGCCTGGCCAAATGACATATTTTGTTAATTTAAGTGAAAAGAAGTAAACGCAACATCAGCAAACTGTTTAAAAAACACTAAATATGTTAACACACAACTATTTTTATTTGATTCAAATTAAAAACATAGTAACTGACACATATAGAAGTGCAAAAGGTTTTGAAAAAAATCACACTTAGGCATTGATTTTACTATTTATACTCAGAAAAAAAAATGTTTAAACACCTAAAATGTCATTTCTATTATTAAAAGCAAGCATTTAATCAAGTAGGTACAGACTTTTGACTGGGACTGGATATTGCATAATCAAGAGAAGTGAACATTCACTTATTCTTATTTTGATATTTACACTGAGCCCTGCATAGCAGCCCTATTGGAACAAAACCTTGTGTTTCCATTTTTGCATTTACATAAACAATAATATTTAAATATGTACAAACACGCTGAGCTTTAACTGGGGCTGTTCAAACAGGAGTTCTTTGCTGGTTCAGTGGCTGAATTGAGGCTAAATCTTTTAAACATTTTACTTGGATGTTGTAGTATGAAGTATAAGTAACATTACAGAAAAGTTGAATTTCACCTGTGGGCCTTTTATCACACATTACCAGCTGAGGAGTGCTGTTGCTTAGCAACCAAACTCCTGAAATAACAACACTAACGGACAAAATGTCAGTCTTTCAGTCCAAAGTGAAATGCTGCCACTGCTAAGCTCTAAGCATTCCTACAATTTTTTACTCTCTGGGATATAACACTGGCATAATGAACATCATCCTGATTGGACGGATCTGGATCAGGTGTTGTATCACTCACCATCAGTCGGAACTGCTATGGGGGCGGTCTAAAATGGAAAAAAAGATAATAATAATTACATATTATATATATTATTTACAATAAATACATATTCAGATGGCAAATCAGCAACATTTTTTTACAAAGTCCAGTGTGGTTAGTTTAAGTAGCACTATATACAAAATTATATGTTTGTATTTATTTATTTGTAGCGAAGCATGTATACACTGAACAAATAATAATCTAAATGAATACACAGCAAAGCTCAGTCATCACTGTGAAAGCAGTGGACAATTCCTGTTTTAAGACAATGTAGAGTTACAAAGGGTTTGTATCTCTCTGTCAAATAGATCTGGATACATGGTTTATGATACAATACAATAACATTATACTATTTCAAATGCCCTCAAATGACCCAAAATGCTGCCCCATATGTGAAAATATGAATAAACTTCACTGTCCCTGAGCAGCTTTAACAACAGCAAAAATGTTAGGGCCAGATCACTGGGTTGAAGCAGTTACAATGCGACAAGGCTTGTGGGGCACTCTCAGTCCGCAGTGGTGAGTACTGACAGTGGTCCAAGAGAGGACAAAACACTAATGGGCAACAGAGCGTTGGGAACCCAAGGCTCATCGATGCGTGAGGGCAACGAAGGGATGGGTTAGAACCAGGGATGTGGGAATAGCTAAGTAGCGCGCTACTTTTTGTAGCTAACTCTAAATTTTTGTAGCTATTAGCTGTAGCTGCTACAGTTTTATGAAATGTAGCTAGTAGCTGTAGCGCCTACAATTCTTTGTGTAGTTATAGTGATGATTTTCACTACAATTTCACTACAGGCTTCAGACAATCCACGCAAAATCTGAACCATAGAACGCGGTTGGTAACTGGGTTGGAGGCGACTGTGCAAACCTGACTGAGCCGTGGACAGTTCGAGCAAACGGTCACGCGCTGATCACCTCTTACTAGCAGGCTTAGCTCAGGGCCTCAACCGAAATGTAAAGAAGAGCCATTTTGCAACCGAAACCGAAATGTAAAGAAGAGCCATTTTGTCCTTTCAACAAAAATGAAACCACCTTGGGAGCCACAACACTTTATCATCTTGGCTGTAAACATGTCTCTCTATGTGCTGATGTCCTGGTACAGGCTAAAAATATGAACCAAAACAAAGACTTACTTTGCTCTGCTTTAACCTTTAGCTTAGCTGTAGCCATTTTTCTTGCACCTCAGTCAGGAAACTTTTCCGCGAGTTTCTTGTAAAATGTCTCTCAGTGTTTGACTTTTTATGAGGCTGAAGTCGCTTCTCATTCGCCAGCCTCTTGTTCAAATTTTCCCGTTCCACCTTAAATGGTGCTTGAGGCGCCAGATTGAACTGCTGCACCATTTAAGGTGGAACAGTTCAAACGAGAAGCTGGAGAATGAGAAGCGACTTCAGCTTCGCGAGTCGTTGCAGATTTAATGTATGAGGAAACCAGCTGGAGTGATTATAAATGCAAATAAGTCCATTAATCTGCAAATTATCGATGTTCGTCTTAAATCTTTCTCTTTGCCTTTTCATTATCTGCATTGCTGTATGACCAGCAGTCTGCGCGTCAGTCTTCAGCGTTAAAGGTTGGTGAATTAGCAGTTATACATTAACTCCTCCGCGTTTAAGACCATTTATTGTGAAAACTGTGTTTGAACTGTGTGTTGTAACAATTTTACAGCAAAGGAAGATTATATTATTTTACCTAAAAATCTAGTTCTAATGTGGAGCCGCAACAGCTCTGCAGCAGTGGAGAGATTATTCAGGCCTGATTCTCACCCCAAACAGAGCCAGAGTCACTGATGAGACATTTGTTACTGAAGTTTAACAAAAGACTCTGAATGTCATGTCTGCACATTTTGCTGAAATGTTTAAATTGGAGCAGTTTTATTTCAACAGTTGATGACAATTTACCAAATTGTTTGGTGTGTATCCAGTTATTTTTGTTGATTTTTGAGAAACACCTGGAATGACTGACTTTGCCTTTAGTCTAAATTTTTGTTGGATATCACAACTTTGGTTGTGTAAGTTTGATTGTTGGTTACACTTCAACTCACGTTTTGGTGATCTATTTGTACATTTGCAGCTTTTCAATTATATGTTACTTTCTGGATCATGATTAAATGCAGTGTCTTGTTCACACTGTCAGTTGGGCTTGTTTGGTGTGTCAGGTGGAGATTCACAAACATTCTGACAATCACGCTTTGAAAGTAGCTAAAAAATAGTGCACTACTTTTCAAAAAGTAGATAAAAAGTAGCCACTACTTCTTCTGGAACAGTAGCTAAATTTTGGGAAAGTAGCTACAAAATAGCTAACTACTAATTTTTCAGTAGCTATCCCAATCCTAGTTATAACACACATGGCATTGCACCCTGCAGCTTATGGATCTGTGTAGCTGTAGACCAGTCAGTGTGCCCATGCTGAATCTGATCTGTGGTGGCTCCACCTCTCAACTTACAGGACTTAAAAGATCTCCTGCTAATGTCTTGGTGCTAGATACCACAGGGAACTTTCAGACGTCTTATACAGGCCATGCTTCGGCAGGTCAGAGCTGTTTTTTTGCAGCATACGGAGGACCAACATCATAATATTTTGGCTCATGTGTGTATTTGTATGTTTTCTTCTCTATATGTTGAAGTTTCATAACGACTCTTTAGTAAATGTTTGAACTTTTGAATTTTTTTCTCAACATTGTTGTCGGAGTCTGTTATCTAGGAGTTGTAGGAGCCTGAAAAGTCTTTTAGATCACAGAGAATATATAATGCAGGCTAGTTAAAGTGAATTTTATCAACATAAATGCGTAAGGATCCATTTTAACACCAGTGTTGGGGGTAACGCAGTATGAAACACAATATTAAAATACTGTAAACACTTTTTCCTGTAATGAAGTACTGTAACCTAATGTACAGTTTAACAGCCTGTGATCATTACAGTTACTGATTTAATAATAATGACCAAACAAAAAACAATATCATAAAATACTATTGGAATATCAGCACAAATAAACTGTAATCTTTACATAAGTATAACATAAACACCAAAAACCAAATATGAAAAAATTAGCAAATGAAAAAATACTTTCGATTTTCAGAAACTGTACATAGTCCTATATAGTAACAATTAAAGGCTAAATCAGTTGAAAGATAGAAACACTTGAATAAAACTGGTCTGTTGTTATTGACTTACCAAGCTTGAAGGCTTTTTGCATTTCCTGAAATAATAATAATGTTAATAATAATAATAATGATAATAACGTGAAATGACAGCATTAAGATTTTTCCATTGGTGAAATTATAGCATGCCAGATTCTTACCATAAATACCCTACACACAGACCAATGACCAAAACACATGCAACTCCAAGCACAACATACAGAGCCGCATTTCCACTCCCTTAATTATGTTAATCTGAAATGACTTTTTCCAGTCAGTTAATGAAACAAGATGCATATACTTACCATACAAAAAAAATGATGCATGAAAGAGCTACCAATACAGCTATCACTGCAACAACGATCATTGTAACATTGGTCGGAGTCACTGTGTGAACATGAATGTTGAAGTCATTTATTCATTTTACAAAATGTTTCTTAGCTTAAACTTTTTTTCTACATCAGTAATACCTTCTACAGTGACAGCAGCTGATTTCTGAGATCCGTGTTCATTCTGAGCCACACAGTAGTAGGATCCACTCTGTAGAGCCCTGTAACTGTGTCCAGATCCTACAGGTGAACTTCCACCTTCTTTACACCAGGTGTAGTTCTGCACAGGTGGGTTTGCATCACTGCTGCACGTCAGAATCTCTGACTTGCCATCTGCTGTTGTATTAGAGGATACGCTGACATTCTTTGGAGGATCTAAAAAATATTATGGTCGAGTGATTGAGTGGTCTTTATGAATGATAGCAAGCTGGTGCACATTAATTACCTACTTACACAAAACATTCAGAGTTAGAGCTTCAGAGAGTTTCTCTCCATGTTCATTACTGGATCTACACTTGTATTCTCCACTGTCCACAGAGCTGATCTTGTTCATTGTGTAAGTCTTTGTTTTTTCTACTAATGATGTTCCTTTAAACCAGGTGTAGTTCTGCACAGGTGGGTTTGCATCACTGCTGCAGGTCAGATTCACTGAACTGCCCTCCACTATTTTACCAGAGGGACTGATGGACACTGAGACACTTTTTGGGCCATCTAGAGGTAGAATGACACATTACACTTTATGCATGTGTTTTTTTTAATAAGTAATACATTTTTGCAGAACTACTACATTACGTTTTATTGCAGATACACATATTTAACCTCAGTGTATGAAAATTACTGTTGTTTGCAGCTTCAGGATTCATTTCATCAAAGACTCAGAATGACTGTCATCCCATTTGTTTTCTTGGCATGAAAACTAAATATTGACTCCATCTGACTTGCAGTTGATATTTAGACTTTCAAACAAAGTTAATTTTTGAGTTTGACTGTCAATCATGTATTAGTCATATAAAAGTCTGTAATAGTCAATTATGTAACAGTCTGTACTGAACAACTTTACCACACATTTCCAAATGAATCATTTCTATAAGCTGTTAACATGCCTGAATACATAACTGAAAAATAAAGAGAGTAGATATGTTCATATGTTCTTTCATAGCTTTATCTAAGTACCAAGCACCCTGTTTAAGCTCAGGTGTGTTGGATCCAGGAAAATACAAAAACGTGCAGTACACAGGATCTCCAAGAAAGATTTTTATATTTTTCATGGTTTCCCATTCATCTACTACTTTGTAAAAAAAGATTTCTGTATCAGCTTTGGGTTAAATTTGATTACAAACAGTTCAGCATGAATGCTCAGCTTAGTTTGTTTTCCTGAGACTGAATGAATGAATGAATCTGTACTTACATCTGACATTCAGAGTGACCTCAGGAGAGTTCAGACCCAGTACAGCACAGTGATACCTGTCCTTATTATCACTGCTGACCGGCTGCAGGTGGAGTTGGCCAGTACTGGAGGATAAACGATGTCCATTTCTGTACCAGGTGAATGTTGGTCTGACTGTCAGACTGCAGGTGGTTTTACATGTGAGAGTGACTTTATGTTCCTCTATCACTCTCTCAGGAACGTCCACCTGGAGATCTGAGAACCAGAGAAACAAACTCATACTATGGAGAACTTAAACAATCTGACTGAACGTACCACTGGTGTTCGAAATATTTAGGCACCAAAGCGGAATTAAAATGTAACACTGAAAACAGATCAAACCACTGCAGTTAATGCACAAAAACTTTAAATTTAACTTTAAAAAATAAGAATGTAAGTGTTGTTCACTTCAATTCCTCTTAATTGAGTCAGACCCCAGAGGCTGCATTTATAAAAGCATGAGTAGAACATGTTCCAAACCTGTGTAAATTGCTGTCTGAAAGGTCTAACTTTACATATTCACTTAAAAAAGGGAATATAAAACTCTGCAGACTAAATGCATTATTCTCTCCGCAACTCACCATAGATCATACAGGCAGGTCTATAAATATCTGAACGTTGACAAATTTGTTATCTTAGCTGTCTAGCACAGCACATTCTGCTAATAGTTTGAGTGACTTCAAAGCACTGGTACATCAGAGAATGTCTGTTTATGTTCCAGCATGTGATCTTAGATCTGCAGATACTGACCTTCTGCAAATACCTTCCGTAAAACACAAAAAACGTGGAAAGACTCTTTCAGTTATTCTGCTTCTAAAATGTGGAACTCAAATCCACCTTTTATTAGACAGTCAAGCTCAGTGCTCACTTTTAAGAAACATTTAAAAATGTATCTCTTTAACTTTGCATTTAATTAAAATTCTATGTCTCTTGGTATTTATCTTTAATTTGACCTGTGTCAATTTTTTATATGATTTTAAATACTCATTATTTCTTGTATTACTGTTAAGCTTTATTATCTGTCTGTGAAGCACTTTGAGCTGCCACTGGCATAAAAGTGCTACATACATAAAGATTATTATAAAGATTATAATATTATATTGGAGCTCCAGACTTTCAGGTTAGGAATGTTATAGGATTTGTGGGTGTTATTCCCTCAATTACTTCACTTATAACAAGGTGTAAGCCTTTGGTAAACCTATTTTTTGGTAAATAAATAAATAAATAAAAAATAAGCCTATACAGTTCTGAAACAGCAACTTACGGAAAGATGAGACAAAGATCAACTTGTATCAGACTGATGGAAAGAGAAGAGTATGGAGAAGAGAAGGAACTGCTCTTGATCCAAAGCATGTTAAATCCAAATTCATTCTTGTAAAAGGTGGTGTTAACTGAATGTGTTCATGCTATTAAATTCTGCTAGTAAAAGTTTAAAACATTTTGATGTAAAACATGTTTCCAGTGGGATCTATGCCAAGGTCACATGGTCTCCCATCTGCAGCACATGGAGAGACAGCATACAGACTGTTCTGCATGTCCAGCTCCAGCTTCAGCCAGGCTTCCCCCTCTAGAGACTCAGCACATGAACTCTAATATTTTGTGTTGGGTGACTTCACCTCCAGCTCCAACTCCACCCAGGCTCTACTCACTGATAACCAGACACAGCTGCAGCTCATTCCTTGAGTTAACAGCTCACACATATATAGGCCTGTTGTTGTACCTGCAAAGTCTCTGTTGCCTCTGACTTCTAAGTCATATTTCGTGTCGTCTATATGACGACCATGCTTGGCAGTCATTCGGTTTACCTATGATAATATTTTTATACAGTTAGGGGACTATATTTGTACATGGTTAAGAGTAGTTCTCAATGTATGCCCATTATCATGCATAAAAAATAACATTCTAAGCATAAGAATGTGTCTCGGACAGTAGACGTTTCTCCTTCACACAACACCATTATTAGCACGGAAGGCAATACAAGCCTCTTCTGAACTGTATGATAGCTGCCACTACAGTTAATGAACTACTGCTAATACAGCGCTGTTAAACACCTCAGTGTGCTGACCAACTCTGACTAATGTACTACAGTTAACGAACTACTGCCAATACAGTGCTGTTAAACACCTCAGTGTGCTGACCAACTCTGACTAATGTACTACAGTTAATGAACTACTGCTAATACAGCACCGTTACACACCTCAGTGTGCTGACCAACTCTGACTAATGTACTACAGTTAATGAACTACTGCCAATGCAGCGCTGTTAAACACCTCAGTGTGCTGATCAACTCTGACTAATGTACTACAGTTAATGATCTACTGCTAATACAGCGCTGTTAAACACCTCAGTGTGCAGATCAACTCTGACTAATGTACTACAGTTAATGAACTACTGCTAATGCAGCACTGTTAAACACCTCAGTGTGCTGATCAACTCTGACTAATGTACTACAGTTAATGAACTACTGCTAATACAGCGCTGTTAAACACCTCAGTGTGCTGATCAACTCTGACTAATGTACTACAGTTAATGAACTACTGCTAATACAGCGCTGTTAAACACCTCAGTGTGCTGATCAACTCTGACTAATGTACTACAGTTAATGATCTACTGCTAATACAGCGCTGTTAAACACCTCAGTGTGCAGATCAACTCTGACTAATGTACTACAGTTAATGAACTACTGCTAATGCAGCACTGTTAAACACCTCAGTGTGCTGATCAACTCTGACTAATGTACTACAGTTAATGAACTACTGCTAATACAGCACTGTTAAACACCTCAGTGTGCTGATCAACTCTGACTAATGTACTACAGTTAACAGCAACTCCTATTTTACACAGATTAGACTCACATCTGCTCTGTAGTTCACTTAATTCTGAATTTGCAGCTAAGAAAGAATACAAACCACTTCTGGACTAAATTCTGGTTCTCCAGTTCTAAGCAGTGTGTTTCTCGGGTGTTCTATAAAGGATGGATATAATTATATTACAGAACTGCTTTGTGAGTCCTGAACACCAGTGAATGAAGTACAGTGTCTTATTTCTGCTGATGGATCTTACCTGTGACTGAAAGATCAACTCCACCTTCACCTTGATACTTTCCTCCAGTTTGATTTGTTATAAATGTGAAGTAGTATTTACTTTGATCCTTTTCTCTCATGTTCTTAAATCTGAGAGTGCAGTCACTGTGTTCATCTCCGAGGTACTGAACTCTGCCTCTGTACTCTGGATCATCTGACAGATCAGGAGGTTCTGAACCAGATGTATTCAGCTCTTTAGTCCAGAAAGCTTTTTGGACTGAGTGACCACTTGGATATGTGTAAGTACACTCCATAGTTAATGCAGACCCCTTTAGAGCACAGACAGATTTAGAGTTGTAATTCACAGCCCACCCATCCTGAGCAACAACTCCTGCAACACAAAATACAGAAATGTGTAAATTATTACTGTTTGGGTCTCAGTCAGTAAAAATGCTGCATAAAGTCTCCATTTCAGCTCATTTCTGAGACTGCCAGAATAAAGTTTGGAATAAAAAACTTAAATATGCTGAAGTGATCTGGAGATAAAAGAGTGGGCTATGGGGGGCTCCAGAGTGAAGGAACAGTAATAACAGGAAAAAAAAACATATTCTTACAACTTTGCAGAGACATAACAGCTCTGACTCACCTGAGATGCAGAGCAGAAACAGCAGAGAAACAGTCAGAGACATTCTGAGTGAGATCAGCAGTTCAGCCTGTATGATCATAAAAGCAAATACGACAAAATGCTGTTTATTTACAGAGTCATAAAGGCTGTGTCAGCGTTATCAAACCCCCTAAGCTGCCCAACCATTTTCATAGTGTAGACAAAAAGTACTGAGCTGAAATACACTTCACTTTCCATTTGAGTCTTGCTATGTATCAGGCTTCCATCCTGAAATTTCATGTGATATGAAAAAAAGAGAAAAAAAAGAGAAAGCCTGATGATTTCTGTGAAATAATTTTAAACAACAACATGTCTGCACGATCTTGCTTTATTTTTTTTTAAATAATCTAACATATTTAATGCATACACATTTTATAGAAATACTCTTATTTTATTGTTTGTTTGGGTTGGAAACAAAAGGGTTACGTTTTTTCCCTTCTGTGGTGTCTTGGTACAAACCCAGCTCCAAAAAGGTTGGGACAGTATGCAAAATGTCAATAAAAACAAAAGCAGTTATTAGTAAATTTTATTTGACCTGCATTAAACTGAAAACAACCAAAAGCACATTATTTAATGTTTCACCTTATGAGCTTTATGTCAAATGTGATGCCTGCAACATGTTCCAAAACATGTTTATCACTGTATAACAAGTCTTCAACTGCACTCTCTGTTTATATATTATATGTATAATTATATGTTTTGATGTGCAGAATGTTTCTTGTCGTTGTCATGTTGAAAAAATAGTGGGCGTCCCTGAAATGCTGTGTGCATAGATACTTATTTTTCTGTAAAACTGATTTCAGCACAGATTCTTTTTTATTGCACACGCCTGCAAAGGACCATGGGACATTCAGTGACTTGGAAATGTTCCTGTAGCCATTCCCTGACTTGTACTGTTCTTTTCTCTTCATGGTGTATTTTAGGCCATGAAATAAAGGTTGAACCTTCCATGTACAGGTGTATTTATACTACAATCACCGGGAACCTCTAGACTGCACACAGCTAATCTCCAATTTAATTCACTTTGCAGAGCTCTGTCTTCTCTTTGACATGAAAGTGTTTCTAATGCTATATGATAATGAAACACACAAGCTTCGAAGGAAGAATACTTTTTATAGGCACAAAATTTGTTAAGCTACACTCTTATAAAAGATAGTTCTTCAAGGGTTCCTTAGATAAGAAAATGGTTCTATATAGAACCATCTATGAACACTATGAACACTCAAAGAACCCTGTGCATGATTAAAGGGTTCCTTGCATTGTGAAAGGGTTCTTCAGATTGATGGATGTTACGACCCTCAGTCGTTGTCACTTTTCTGTGTCTTTCTGTGTTTTCACTTTTGTTTTTCTATGATGTTCAGGTCTGTAATTGGCCACACGGGGGCGCACCAAGGTATACGAGGTCACCGAACCACCATTAAAAGTAGGGGATGGGTGCCACTTTGTTTTGGTTACTTCTTCTCCTGTTTAAGGAGTTACACTTTCAGAAATAAAGGTACGAAACTGTCACAGGGGCAGTTCCCCTCTTGACACTGGGGTGGTTCCCTCAATGGTACATCTCAGTACCTTTAGTCAAGGAACATAACTGAACCATAATCCACTGAAATGATATTTTCTGGGTTGTACTGACTCCACACACCCCATCTCGTCTTCAGGCTTTTTATTTTATTGTTCTCTGTTTAAACATTGGCTCATGAAAAGGTACAAATTTGTACTTTTCCACTGGAAAAAATGTATTTAGTGTTCATTATTGGACCTTAAAACCACTGTTGGACCTTTAAGGGTACATGTACATTGTTTGTTTGTACCTTGAAGAAAACATGTACCAGCTCTGACCCTTTATTTCTAACAGTGTAGGGTAGCCATATGTCTTTGTTCCTTTTGATTCAGATTTAGTTAGATTTGTAATCGTTAGTAGTGTTGTTTATTTTGGTATACACTCATCCTTAAAGCCATCAACCCAAGTATGTTTGATCATTTGAAGTAAATAAGCCTGCCATTTTCTGACTTCCATGGTGTCTGGTGTCATTCTCTGTTATGGCCTGACCCTACACCAGGTCGTAACAATGGAGAATGTCCTGTAGATGGTTCTATATAGAACCTTTTGTAAAATGGTTCTGTACAGCACCAAAAACGATTCTGCTATTGTTACGATACAAGCTTTTTTTGGGGGCTATATAGAACCAAACCCAAGACACTGTCCATCAGTCTAAAGAACTGTTTCTTGATTCAAAGAACCCTTTAATCATACCGAGGGTTGTTTGAGTGTTCAGAGTTCTACACAGAAACACTTTTTTTTATTAAAGAAGCTTGAAGAACCATCCTTTTAGAGAGTGTGTGATGGATTGTTCTGAGGCTGCTTGCACCTTCTGTGTGTTCAAATGTAATCTAGTTATAATGTAAGTGTTTGCTCAGTTTAGGTTTACGCATTATTTAATGGGTTGCACCACACAAGTTAGTGTTTACGCTGAACTTGGATTCTACTAAATATTTACACTTGAGTGCTGGTGAAACCACAGGAACCAAATAAGTAGCACAAAGAAGACAACGTTATGAATTGGGTGTTTTCTAGGTTTGGCCCACATTCTGCCCACTTTAACCAACAAACATAAATATGAAGCACAAGCGCTCTGACACCCCACCACAGACAACACCACCATTACTTTTGCATATGAACAAGAGCAAGCAAGCAAGCAAAGTTTATTTATATAGTGCTTTTTACAACAAGTGTTGTCACAAAGCAGCTTTACAGAAAAATCAGCATTACAGAAAAAAAATCCGAGTCCGGGCCCCCATGAGCGTTGCCAGAGGCGACAGTGGCAAGGAAAAACTCAGAGCAGGAGGAAGAAACCTTGAGAGGAACCAAGACTCAGAAGGGGAACCCATCCTCCTTTGGTCGACACCGGATAGCAAACAGTGTTAGTATAAAGTATTATAGTACAAAATGGGGAAAACAGGAGGAGCAATGGTTAATTTGATAGTTTGAGCTTATGCAGCAGCAGCAGCATCAGGAGGGTCAGTTCATGAGGGTGAGGTTTGCACAGCGTTGTATAGCAAGAAGCTCAATGGTGGTCAAGCCGGTCCAGAAGGCTGGCTAGCAGTGGCACCCAATCAAGGCAGAAGAGGCAACAGCATCAGACGCGCAGGATGGGCAGCTATTCAACTTGGCAAAGAAAGGAAAACACACAGAGAGTCAGTTCTGTAATCAGTGATCACAGATTACAGTATTAACAGAGCAGCAAGAAGCATCAACATGACTTATTCAGAGCACAAAAGCATGTAAAACATTTTAAAAACACACCAACAACTTCTCTCTGTTCTGGTCTTCCCTTCACTCCTCCTCCCTTCACTCCCCCTCCCTGTTCTGGTCCTCCTTTCACTCCTCTCTGTTCTAATCCTCCTTTCACTCCTTCTCCCTGTTCTAATCCTTCTTTTACTCCCAAAATGAACGCTAAAGTGTAATGGGAATCACCTCAGACCAACTACCCCTGACTCTGAGACTTTTTAGAGTTAAAAAGTTCTCCTCATCAACATCAACAGCCAGGAAACAGGATCAGAGAACGAGCTAAAGCTTATACCCAACAACATACTGGTTCAGGTTTTTGTTTTCTCATTTTCCAGCTTTCAAAAGCTGGTAGAGCCTCTAAAAGTAAATTGAGACCCAGTTAAGGCATTGTTAGCTTGGTGCCAAAATAACAGTGATTCATAGTTACATCATTGCGTCATAAAGAACACCCTGTGGCCATTCTGGTAGAAAGGCTGTAACTCTGACTGTGCTCTGATACAGCTCCTCTCATCACCGTTACTGTAGCTACAACTCTGCAGGTGGATGAAGACCAAGCAAAACAGACCAGAATGGCCACGAAATACATGAAAAGATATGTAAACATTTTAGATAAAGTTTATGAGGAGAAGGTTAACCTCTTATTTGTAAGCTTCTTATTTGAATTTTTCGTTGCACCTTAAATGGTGTTGCAGTTACGCTGAGGTGCCTTAAACGTAAAATGAATTTCAAACAAGAAGCTTCTGAATACAAAGCCAACATTACCTTAACCATATTTGCATTAATTTACCTCATTAAATGCATCCTTATTTAATAAATAACTTTCACTTGGAAATGTTTAATGAGCAGCTAAGGAGCTGCACAGCAGAGCTATAATAAGCCACTGGAGCGTTTGATTGTTGTCTCACCGGCTGAGCTAACGCTGCGTCCCAAACCACAAACTTCTATAGTTCAAATACTACACTAATGAGTGCACTAGTGCATTAGTGTGCTAGTATGCCATTTGGGACGCAACAATAATAATGCATCACTCAAATATGAAACACTCAAATGTATCAGTTAATATGCTTTAACATTTTTTTTGAACTGAACGTTCTTGAAAAAAAAGTGTTTTACTGTCTTTAGTGGATCAGTTATGGCTTCGATATCTCATAACAAACCACCACTGTGCTGCCAAGTGAAAATTAAGTTGCCTACCAGTGTGGTGGAAGAGTGATTGAGTGACGTCACTGGAATAATACAATTTAGCATTATGCTAGATAATAAAAATAAAGGCTACTTAAAAAGTTATGCTTTTTTCAAACACTGGTGAATGGCTGGTGTTTGCTCATGATTAAATGCCAAAAATTAACTTCACGAAATCCAGTGAATTGAGAAATTACTGAGTGGGAAGATCAGTTTAAAATAGAGTTTAACAGCACCAGAACCACCTCAGTATTTGGATGTTTCATCACAAGACGACTGAATAAGTTCTGTTTTCTTCAATAACCTAGTTAAAAACTCCCAAATAACTATTAGGATTTGGTACAAAGTTGATTGTGATGTAATGTTGATGTGTTCTGTACAGACATTTAAAAGTATCTACACTCCTTAAAAATATCAAATGTGACCAATTACGCCACCAACCCAATACCGTCCAACCCATGATCACCACATCCCAACCACCAAAACCTCCAACCTCTAATCTTTACCACCCCCTGCCGTATCCTGGCCCACTGAAATTTCACTCTACCAAAAATGTAAAAGTTTCCAGTCCTGGAAATGCAATATTTTTCTTGGTGTATTAAACTTATTCAAACTACACAATAACAGCTACTAACCTACCTAATGTAATCTAGGTCACCTTTTGTTTGGCTAAAAGTGGTTAGCCTTGACATAAGCTTTAGCATTACACCAGTGCTCTGTGACTGATCTGGTGGTCCACTGGTGCTTTGCTGAGCATTTTCTGGGCGGCCCACTGGTGTTTAAGCAGAGTATTAGACAAAATTCTACTTATCATTGCTCATTTTCCACTTACAGTCTAATTTACTTTTTTCTTCCTTCCTTTCTTTAGTTATACTTTGTAAATTAGTTTAGTAAATAATTTTAGCACAACTTCAGCAACAACATCTATAAAATCAACTTACATTAGGCCTAATCATTATTTTTTTTTCTCTCAGTTGTTTGTAATATAAGAGTGGACCAGCAGTGGCAAACATTCAGCGGGGTGCTGACCTTATCAAGCCAGTGGACCGATATATCTATGAATTTATTTGTAATCTTAACATTTTTATCAAAAGATAATTGAGTCATGACCTCAATATAACAACTTTGTTGTTATATTTTTGTTCACAAGATATTTAAATCATGAACTCAAGATAAAAATCGAAAAAAAAATATAACTATAATCTCACAGCCTCTCTGGACATCTGTAAATAAATGTTAGACTTTAGATTTAATTATTGAGCTTTTACTGTAAAACTGTAAAATACAGAACAACACACTGTAGTGTCCTGCAATTTACATTTGAAATAATATACCGATTCAAACTACCAGAAGGTGTATATATTTAAAAAAGTCTTCTCAGGTTTGGCTAAACAGCGCCCCCTGATGACGTGGAGCCTCCGGGTCAAATAACGAACCGTGTCAACGGCCGAATTCCCTCTCTGCCTGTGAGAGCGGTTCCGGCTGTAGCTCTGTGCTGGTTTTCCTCTGAAATGGAAAAGTAACTCCTAGACTTCATGATAATCGTTGAAAGTAGCGCTGCTGTTTATTTACACTGCTGAATCCATCATAGCGGACAGTCAGAAATATGGCAGGTGACGGTTTTAATCCTAGTTTCGGTAAACCACGTTTAAAATTGCGTGGAGCAACAGAACCCGATTTAAAATCAAACACAGATCAACAAATCCTTAATAAGCTCTAAATTCTGTTGAATTCAATCCTCGTTTGTGCAGCCCACCCTTAGATTAACAAACACTCGCATGTATGTGCAGTACTTACATACGCCCATGTCCTTTCTTCGTGCAGGCGGACTATCGAAACTGAAAGTGTTCAGAGGAAGTGTGCAGCGGTTTATGGGAAATGTAGTGTCTGTGGCGAAATCGTGCGGTCTAACGTACTGTCCTTCTACCGGTGATTATAGTGGAGCAACAAACGGCTGTTTAATGTTAGAGTAGCTCATTAAATCTAATATATGATGCCAGAATAACCGAGAAATGTCGCGAGTTTATTACTGATATTATGCAAAGTGAGGTTAGATCATGAGTTCTTAAGATTAAAAAACCTTTGAGATTAAAAAGTTCTGTTTGTTCCTGGTGGCGTCCAATAGTCTTTAATGCGATTCCGTGTCTTCCTGGGTTGATATGGCAGTGTAAAGGACTCTAACTGGTATTCGGGGTTGATTACAGATGGATTTGATGTTTTTCTAATGGGATCTACAGCAAACTAGTGCTCTCATGGTAAACATTAAGCTAATTCCCAAAGCCAAACTAATGGTCTGGACGAAAACTAAAACTAATGGAACTTAAGTTGTAATGGTCTTTTTTTCAGCAGGGTGTGTATCTCAGTTGCAGTTTGTTTCCTGTTCTGGGGTCGACACTTAACACCTCATAGTTATGGTTGCTGCTGCATTGCAGCCCCCTGGCTCAGGGGGCTATCTGCAATTTGCAGGAGTGAAATTTCTGCCCACTCGAGAATTTGTCCTGCCCATCCATAAAGCCAAAACGGGAGCACTGGCAGTGCTATCATAACAGTGTTTATTATTGTGGGTTTCTAGGGGGCTTGTTGCTTGTTTAAGCAAAATAACATGTTGTTGGTCAAATAGGCAGGAACTTCTATTCAACTGACACAGCAATAAGAGTATTTTCCTACCTTTATTAAGCGACGTTCATCTCCTGAATCAAAATAACGACCACAGACATGCCTTCTTCTCTTTTTTCCACTGGCTCCCCTCCCCTCCCCACCCTTCCTTCCTTCTATTGAGCATAAAACATATGTACTGTTTCTGCACTGAATGATATTCTGACTAACAGTTACAAGTAAAAACACTACATGAGCAGTATATGGAAAGAGTGATGTTATTTAGCTCAGCACTGCCATTTCCTGTGCCTGGAGTTCAGAATTAGGCAAATACAATATGAGGAAGGAGAAGAGAGCATTTCTAAATAAGCACTGACCGTAGCAGAGCTGCAGCGCAGCATGTTTTCAAGCAGAAATCAGATACACAAGTTTAGCAAGCATCTGTAACCTTGGTTTTTCACAAGTTCTGATGTGTAATCCTAGTACACATCCACTCTCTTAGTTCAGTTAGGATCACTACTGTATTTTAAGAATGTGAAATGTCAGAATTATACCAGTGGCAATGATTTATTTCAGCTTTTATTTCTTTCATCCCATTCCCAGTGGCTCAGAAGTTTATATACATGTGATTAATATTTTGTAGCATTGCCTTTGAATTATTTAACTTGGGTCAAACATTTCGGGTAGCCGCCCACAAGCTTGTCACAATAAGCTGCTGAAATTTTAGCCCATTTCTCCTGACAGAACTGGTGTAACTGAGTCAGGTTTGTAGGCCTCCTTCCTTGCATACACTTTTTCAGTTCTGCACACAAATTTCATTGGGATTGAGGTTCAGAGCTTTGTGATGGCCACTCCATTACCTTCATTTTGTTGTCCTTAAGCCATTTTGACACAACTTTGGAAGTATGCTTGGGGTCACTGTCCATTTAGAAGGCCCATTTGCACCCAAGCTTTAAGTTTCTTGCTGATGTCTTGAGATGTTTCCTCCATAATTTGCTTTCCTTATAATGTCATCTATTTTGTGAAGTTCACCAGTCCTTCCTGCAGCAAAGCACCTCGACAAAATGATGCTGCCACCCCCATGCTTCACGGTCAGGATGGTGATCTCTGGTTTGTAAGCCTCCCCCCTTTTCCTCCATACCTAACAATGGTCATTATGGCCATACAGTTCCATTTTTATTTCATCAGACCAGAGGACATCTCTCCAAAAAGTAAAATCTTTGCCCCCAAGTGTAGTTTCAAACTGTCAACTGGCTTTTTTAATGGCGGTTCTGGAGCAGTAGCTTCTTCCTTTCTAAGCGGCCTTTCAGGTCATGCTGATATATAACATGTTTTACTGTAGATACAGAGACTTTTGTAACTGTTTCCTCCAGCATCTTCATAAGGTCGCTGACTGTTGCTCTTGGATGGATTTGTATTTTTCGCACCAAAGTATGTTCATCTCTAGGAGACAGATCTCTATTGAACAGATGAATGTGGTGTCTTCAGGTGTTTGGAAATTGACATCCCAAGGATGTACCAGACTTGTGGAGGTCCAGAACTCTATTTCTGATGTCTTGGCTGATTTCTTTTGATTTTCTCATGATGTCAAGCAAAGAGGCTAGTAGTGCCTTGAAGTTAGGCTTTAAAATACTGCCACAGGTACATCTCCAATTAACTCAAATGATGTCAGTTAGCCTACCGGAAGCTTCTAAAGCCATCATGTCATTTTCTGGAGTTTCCCAAGCTTTTTAAAGGCTCAGTCAACTTGGTCTATGTAAACTTCTGATCCACTGAAATTTTGATTAAGCAAATTATAAGTGAAATAATCTGTTTATAATTATGTGTCGGAAAAACTGCTTGTGTCATGTAAAAAGTAGACATCCTACACTGGTAAAAAAGATGGTTCTTCAAGGATTGTGTAGTAAAAAAAAGGTTCTATACAGAACCATGAACACACACAAATCATTTGCATGATTAAAGGGTACTTTGCATGGCGAGATGGTTCATCAGATTGATAAGGAATGCGCTGTATATGATTCTATTTAGAATCTTCTTGAAAAGGGTTCTATATAGCACAAAGAAAGTTCAGCTATTGTTATGATGCAAGCTTGTTACAATAGAAGAACTCTTTTTGGTGCTATATAGAGCCATTTTTGAAGACATTCTATATAGAACCACCTAGAACACTTTCTTAATTAATCGGTAGAACTCTGTCATGATGCAAAGAACCCTTTAATCATGCAAAGGCTTTTTTGAGTATTCATGGTTCTGTACTGAAGAACCCTTGAAGAACCATTTTTCAAGAGTATAAACACCCTGCTAAAACTTGTTGACATGAAATCTGTGAAGGGAAAAATATGAGTTTTAATGACTTAAACCTAAGTATATGACAAACTATTTCACCTTCAGTAAATTTCATCATTTAATGTTGGTTTATACTGCCATCTAGAGGAATTTAGTTAGATTTATATGTACACTGTCCTATAAGGCCCATCACTGACTGACTGATATCTGGAGCTCGTATCAGCTCACCTGACACTTCATCCTTCTTTCTCTTCTGCTCAATCATATTTCAGTTATTCATCAACAATGCAGTTGCTTTTTCATTATCAAATGTATTTTTATTTTTTGTCCTCAGGGATCAAAAGTGATCCAGCAAGAAACACACAAAGGCAGATTTAATGATTCTGAAGTTGGAGGCAAAAGACAGGAACGGAGCTGAAATTAAATACAGTAAATACAGTATTTCTTCTATTGCTTGTTAATGAAATATGTAAGTCGCTAGCTCATAATGTCTATAGTAATTACATTCAATATACTTTGATTTCTAGTAGAGTGTAAGATCATGTAACTGACATGTGCAAGCAAACTATCTCACAAGTCCTGTGCCTTAAGGTAAGTCTCGAGTCCTCAGACTAAGAAAAAATTTTAATTCCTAACATAATATTAAAGGTGCAATTGCATTGTCATTAGCTTAACTGTAGTTTGGAGTTTAATCTGAGTTTAAACCTGAATGAGTCATGTGGGTTCTTAAACTCCATTGCTGCCTATGTTGAAAGCTGGTTTAAATGAAACCAAATTGCTATCATTTAAAATTGGCTACTAGATGGTGCTGTATCTTAGTTTTAATTGAAGTTTGTCTTAAACTTTCCAAAGGCATGGTTTTATTGAGGTTTAAGGCAAGATTATTTTAACTGAAGCAAATTTTCAGCACAGATATTTAAATATTTCAAACCTAGGCCCAGATACCTTCAAACATAATGTTCTGTGGACTTGTTTTAATGCAATAGTGCTTAATTAAACACACACTGAGGTACCATACTCTACCTACTACTACTAGAGGAAGCGTTAATCACTGCAATCTTGATTAGGCTTTTTCAGAATGTACTGTTTAGAGAAGCTAAAGAGGACCTGTGTGCAGGCTATCCATGGCACTTTCCATGAATCTAGTTCATTTTATGCCTCAAAACTTTTATACTTTACTTTTTTTTTCTTTAGTGTTTTTGGACAATGTATTGAAGAGTCTTTAAGAAATGTCTGCATGAAATTTTAGGTTATGTGTTTTTTTAGAGTTTGTTGCCTGAGTTATTGTGCTATAGACTCTTATTGTGAAGGGCGGGAGAAGTAGCCACTTGGTATACAAGTAGGATAGTATAGAGATGAAAAGATATGTGGACACTTTAGATACTGTCTGTGAGGTGAAGGTTAGCTTCTTATTCGTCAGCTTCTTATTTTAATTTTCTGTTCTACCTTAAATGCAGTTATACTGAGGTGCCTTAAATGTAGAACGAAATTTCAAACAAAGCTCATAAATATGACACCAACGTCACCTTACCTCAGTAAATACACTAATTTACCTCATTAAATATACCCTTATTTAAGAAACACCTTTCGCTTAGAAATGTTTAATAAGCAGCTAATACAAGCACAACAGAGCTACAAGCCGCCACTGAAGCGTTAGATTGTTGGACTTATCTTACTGGCTGAGTCCTAAACCACAAACTTCTATAAAAGGGTTTCCTGTTTACAAACATTACTGGGTGTGCACATAGCACATATTTATAAAATATTTATAGAGTTCTACATAAAACTGTAGTAGGATATTTTAATAGCCTAAATCACGCAAAGCTGAAGTCAGCTGCTAATTCACCAGCTTCTTGTTCCAGTTTTCGCATTCCACGTCAAATGGTGCAGCAGTTTCATAATGACGCCTCAAGCCACTGCCCAACTCAGGCACCATTTTTAGGCTGAACAAGAAATTCAAACAAGAAGCCGATGAATATGAAGCTGACTTAGCTGAATTCAGTCTCGTCTAAATCACAGTGCTACCACTATTAAAAAATACAGTTCGGATGTGTTGGTAGTCGAACACCCTATCAAAAAAACACTCTATTTGGATATGAAGAGGGTGTTGCACTGACTTTTGCTGCCTTTGGGACCATCAAGATCCCGATGTGCCCTTTTGATGGCCTGAACCATTTTACAATACTATGTAAAATAATCCAATAATAACATAATCCAATTTATATAATAAAGTAATCCAATATATCAGTTAATATGCTTTAAAAAAAATAGCTTTAAACTGTGTGTTCTGACAAAACACATTTTGTGTCTTAGGTGAATTGGTTATGGCTTTAATATCTCATAACAAACCACAAACCACTGTGCTGCCAAGTGAACTTAAAGTTGCCTACCAGAAAGGAGGCTGGGCGGTTGTAGGATGTCACTGGAATGCTATGAATTAGCATTATCATAGCAGATAAAAATAAAGGCTACTTATAAAGTTTAGCTTTTTTCAAACAGTGGTAAATGGCTGATGAATGCTAATAATTAAATACCAAAAACTCCATGCAGTCCAGTTAATCTTAAAATGATCAGATTGGAAACATGAGTTTAAAATAGAGTTTAACGGCACCAGAACAGCTTTTGTAGCACATAGGTTTGGCAATATCTATGATGACATTAGGAGCAAAGAATTTGATAGTATTTAATAATGAATATGTAAAGGTACACACTGTCTCAGTATTTAGATGTTTCATTGCAAGATCACTAAAAATGACCAATTC